CCGGTCCTGCCAAAAACACCCCTGCCAGTGTTAGAGCAAAACACTTGTCTCAATGATGACTGGGCTTCGTTGAATGTGGGAAAAGATTCACGGGCTTTAAGTTCAAAGATAAAAGGCTCACCAAAATAATAAACCATTGCCAATGGTCCTAGCTCTCTCTTCCCCAGATCCAAGAGCTTTTTTACATTTTCAAAAGAGCGGTCTTACGTCATTCAGTGCCAAGAGCCGCGTTTGTGTTACCCAGCATACAGACGGCTCTCTGAGTCCATTCCCACGTATAGGGAACAGTGGGGTGTTGCGCGAGAGCGCATAATAAGGGCTCTTCACCAGGGGACCCAACGTGTCCAGGAGTTTATACTGTGTTGCCTTCATTCCCTGTTCTAACCCTTTACAAGAGTCTTATCCCGTCTAGGCCATGAAGATCTCACCAATTATACATTAGTGGTATCAAACTCCGGGGTGACACCTACTTTATCCGGGAGGATTGGACAAGGGCATTCTGCGCGAAGGTGTGCGCGTACCTCCTTCTCCAAAGGATTTCATAACAAAAATGCACATATTATGAGAGATGGTCCAGAAAGCACCATTCGCGAGATCTCGGGTGTCATACTGCACGTGGATTAAATAGGGGCATACCCTGGGTGTCAATGAACACATCTTCATCGGTGTTCGGAAGATTGTGATTGCCCTTTCTATGTGGAGAATGCTTCACAATGTATTCTTTGATGTAATGTGATTTAGTACCCATCATATCGTGCCAGTCGTCTTCATCAGAGGTCGAGCCATCTGCTCGCCATTCGTCCACTATCGTCATAGCAGGTGAATTCGGACAAGATCCTTGAGTTAAGCCTTCCCTTCAGACTCCCTGGTTACAGGACTGGACATGGGTACCCTGGAAGTCTCAGAGCCTCCTTCTCCTTCCACATCTAGGTTGTTGGACGGGAGTTGTCCCGTGTTTTCAGGTTGGAGGTTTCGCACTCTAGATAGCCCCTTCCCCACTGACGCTTTGTAAAATGGGGTCTGTGATGGTTCAGACATCATGCCCCAAGGTTCCTGTAATGGCAGAATGGGATACTAGTGAGCAATGCGTGTGCACCACGTAATGTTGCAGGGTGTCCAGCTCCTAGTAAAACTAGGGCTCACTCAGAATTTTAGTGCAAAATATAGCATGTAATGTTGCAGGGTGTCCGGCTCCTAGTAAAACTAGAGCTCCCTCAGAATTTTAGTGCAAAATGTAGCATGTACGGAGTGGTTGGAGTGCAAAGCGGTCATGTATTTACAGTAGGTGTTATCTCTTGGTAGTATGGAGACACTAACAGTCTCATAAATAAATAGGGGGGTCACCCCTGTATTGTCCCGTAGGATGGGACGGGTACCATGCAGGAGGTCACCCTAAATGAAAGCTGCCCGCCAATTGGTCGGGGCACATGAATGTGGGGTACACTCCAATTATACAGCGGAGCTGTACCTCTGCGACATCAAGTAACTTGAACAGTGTTAACATATAAGTATGTTGTCATATGGTGTCATATGGTACCCTTTAAAAATATATATAATATTAAATCCTCATCTATTTGCATAGTAGAGCCTCTACCAGCTAAGGTGCATTTTTGGTCACCCCATTTGTAAGGGGGGTCACCCCTGTTAGAGTTTGTTTGCCTTGGAAGTGGCCAGTGTATATCTTGCTTGGGGGTCACCCAACGGTAGGGGGGTCACCCGTATTAATGTTGTGTTAATAACACATGCTTGAATGGGGGGTCACCCCGTTAGTGAGGGGGTCACTCCTAGGATCGTTAATGCTCTTGGAATGTATTCAAGTAAAATAGATATATATTCCTTTAAAAGGTTCAAGTTCACTCTATTTGGTGCATATACAGAACCAGATCTGAATCAATTATAAGCAGGCAGTATGTACAGTACACACAGAGAGAACAGTAATGTAGAATCCAATTTCACTGTTTAGTAGATGTGTGTGTAATGGAATTATTGATGGAAGATACCTTGACCCCAGGCTCAAGCTTTTAAGATGACCAGTTGTCCAGTCTTTACTTCTTATGTTCTGCATAAAAGCAGAAAATCATGACTTGTGACATTCTGTGGTTTCTGAGGAGACGATTGCAGCTTCCCCCATCAACCGCCCTTCTGATGTCCTAATGTTTTTATATAGATAACCATTGAAAAATGCTTGGTACTGTAATTTCTCTCTTATGGTACAGTGTGATTTCACCCATCCGGTTTTTGGCGCGCAAGTCACAAAGCTGTCTTTACAAAGTACTATATAATCTGTAAGCTTACACAATAAAATAAGGAAGTAATCTTTGAATCAAAAACTGTCTGGTCTGATTACTTTCTCTGAGCAGCTCATAATTTAAAGTGTCAATTTGGTTTCCACCCGAACATATCTCCGGGTAAATTAATATCATTAACATGTGAGAAAAAGCAGGCCAAATCGTGGGAATCACTGGTTATCTAAAATGGCCGACGTGAATCTAGTGGACCCGCCCCATGCTCTCCCCACCCGCAGTACCCCTCCTGCTAGCCCCAGAAACCGTTAAAACCGTGGCGATATCACAGCGAAAATGAGGTGACACACGACAGTGTGGGAAGAGTGAAATGGCAGGAGAGCATGAAAGAACAGGCCCCTGCGTGACAGCAGGAGTCAGGACCGCAGGGAGATTCAAAAAATAGGTGAAATAGAGAATAACTGAGGGAGTGAGGGCAAGACAGCTTGTAGAGTGAGCAGGGGAAAGATATAAAGATAATTATGATCAAATTCAATGCAGGATAAAACAATATAAGATAATTGAGCTGAGAACAAATTACTCTGACCTGTGCCTAGGCTGGAGCAGCAAAGAATGAGGGCGTGATACAATCTTTTATACCCTGTTGCAATGTTTTTTTGACTAAACGTTATTGTTAAATATGTGCTGCTGGAGTTTAGTAAAGAGAGTTTAATGCAAAATATGAAGCCTCCTGTCATGTTATAAAATCAAATATGTGTAAGTAAATACTTTACTAACTTTAAATGTATTATTTGTATTATTAATATTATTATTATTATCATGTACACAGTGCCAACGTGTTCTACAATTATACATTAGAGATGCATAGAAACAGTTAGTTTACAGACAAACAAAAGTTAATATCAAAATATGTGAAGAGGATCTTGTTAACACCTTAATGACACAACTTCTGTAATAAAAGGGAATCATAACGGAATATTTCCGTCATGTGTCCTTAAGGGGTTAAAATAGCTTACAGTCTATCTGAAAGTGACTTAAGTGACATAAGCTGGAGAACAATGTATCGGGGAAAAGAGATGTTGAGAGGTATGATGCCTGTCTTGAATATCAGACAAGTGTGCATCACAATGACAGCTGTAATAAAGAAGTAGTGGCTTGCTGGTGTAAAATTAGCACAACTAAGTACATATTGAACAATGTGGGGCTTATAAATGGCATTGGGGGATCCTGGAATTTACTGTACAGTAATATGTACTGTGGTGCTTACTGCTCTTCAGTTGCCCCTGCTGAATTTATGAAGACTATGAACAGGCTAGTGGGAGAGGTAGGGTAACCACACAACAAGAAAGGTGGGGCTGTGGCCTGCACGTCAAAAGGACAACTTTTCTGCACTGCTGGCAGGGCCAGATTAAGAGCCCAGTGGACCTGGTGCTGACAATTATAAGGGGCCTAAGTACAGAATTGTATCGACCAAAAACAATAAAACAGTCATACCTCTCAAGCAAACGGAAGAGAAGGTGATTGCGCACTTATTTAGATATAGCTCCTGGGTTATGTAGGTAATCCCTAGGTTCTGTGAATAAAGAAAACCAACATAGGGTAATACATTTAAAATGTCGACAGTAAAAAACTTGGAAAAACTCACAATATTTAGAGCATTTCTGAGTTTGCTCTAAACTATGAAGGCAGGATACATCAATCAGATGTAGGTATGTCAGTGCTAGGTACCTCTCAAGAGTTATGTATCTGGTGGAGATGTTGCCAGGGGAAAACTCATAGGATGCAGCTGTAAGAAAACTCAGATTCTCTTAAAATATGCTAATCTCTCATTAATTCATGCTTTCATCTTTCAAGTAAATACATACCCCCTAACAGCAGTATCCAGTGAAGCAGTCAATGGGCAGTGTAAAAGGGTGGGCCACTGACGCGGATCATGTAACCAGAACTTCCGAATGGGATGAACATGTTCAAAAAGGAGGCGTGTCTTCACACCACCCACCTATGTGTTTCCACATTATCTCCTCTTTCTATCACACATTGCCTCCCCATCACCCTTCAATGACCTTCACAACTGTTACAGATCACACTCCTCCTTTCCAAACTCCTCACTACCTTCCCCAAGTTTTTAACCCACCCCTTTCATTTTGTGTCCCATCTCATTAACCCCAAATGTCTGTATATCACCCCTCTGTGCCTCTTACACATTACACCCGTTAATCTCACATGTGCCTCAATCTTTTTAACTCTCAACCCCTATGTTTCCACCAGCCCCTATTTCTCTCTCCCCATCCTTTTCAAGCATCTCTATTTCTCTTTACCATTGCAGACCCCTTATACTTACCATAACCTACCTAATTCTCTTTCCACAATTCTTTCCCTCTGATTGCTCCCCTAGTTCTATTCCGTGATCTCCTTCCTAACATTGCTCTCTTCTTCTTAACTTGTTTCTCTTCTGTTTTTCTATTGTTTTTCACTAATTTCTCATTCTCTCCCCATCTTCCCATTTTCTCTACCTATTTCTCCTCATGTTCCTTTTTCATGCAGCAAACCTGTTGTCTCTGGCTGGCTGCTGCTTTTCACTCACGTCACAGTTCTGTGATGTCACTTCTTATCCCTGTCTCTACGCATTACACCAGGGGCGTACCTAGAGCATTTGGCACCCGGGGCAGGTCCTATTTATGGAACCCCCTTTGCCCCTTCCCTCAACTTTAAATATAAAAACAACCACATTTTTTTTTTTTATGTATTAAGCACTAAGCAGTGTTAATGTGTTTGAATGTATGCATGTTTTTGTATGGAGTATATGTGAGTGAATGTAGCGGTGTGTTTGTATGTAGTGTTGGCGTTTGAATGCAAGCATGCATTTGTGTGTTGTGTGGTATTTGAATGCAGTGGTATGGGTATATATAATGGTGGGGTTTGTATGTAGTGTTGATGTTGAAATGCATGAGTGTATTTTTGTGTAGTGTTGGCGAGATTTTTAGATGTCTGCACATATACACATACATGGACATACACACATGCAGATACATATACACACAAACACAGTCACACACAGATACACATTGACACACATGCAGACATCGTGGCGACTCTAGGAACAATATATATGGGGGGGCACATAAGATACCACAGTCAAAACAGGAGGGGGAGGGGGAGCAGTTAAACTTCTCACTAGGGGATGGGGTAATATGCTGCCATTGGCTGTGTTTTGCATGCTGGCATCTGACTACACATTTGCATATAATTCACATTAGCCACCCAGATTTCTTGTTGTGGGCTGGCTGACACATCTTAATTTCAATCTTTGTTTAGCAGATAACTCCTCTATTTGCTATCCTTTGTGGGATTGCCATATTTAAGGACACCAAATAAGGTGATATCTGCTAAACAGCACCCTCATTTGGTATCTTTAAATATGGAAATCTCACATACGGGCACCAATTCAGGGAATGATCTACTAAAGGATTTAAAAAAACGCCATTTTCTTATTTTTAGTTGTTTAGTTGATAAATCCCTTATTTGTTATCCTTATGTGGCATAGCAATATTTAAGGACAGGAAATAAGGGAGCTATCTACTAAATATACACAGATACACACAATCACACACATAATCACAGATATACACAAACACAATCACTGACCCACACACATACAGTCACAGACACACAATCACATACACACACACAAACATTACATACATACACACACACATTTAATAATTAAGAAGTCCACCCAGCCTCCTTCCCTTGCTCTAAAAGGGCTGGAGTGGATCCTCAGTCCCTGGTGGTCAGTGGTTGCTGCTGGGATCTCTGTGCTCTTCCTGCACAGGTCCCTCGCTCGCCCTGTAATGACGCAGAGGCCGCGATGACATCATATCCTGGCTGCCGGCTCATTGCAGGGCGAAGACCGTCAGACACAGTCAGATGCACACAGTTCCACACACAGTCACTCACACACAGTTACAGGCAGACAGTCAAACACGCAGGCAATCACACAGGCAGATAGTCACACATACACACACAGATTCACAGACAGTCACACACACAATCACAGGCAGTCACACATATATACAACACAGTCACAGACAGTCACACACACAACACAGTCACAGACAGTCACACACACACACACAATCACAGGCAGACAATCACACACAGACAGGCAGACAATCACACACACAGTCAAAGACAGTCACAATCACAGTTACACACACACAGTCAAAGACAGTCACAATCACAGTTACACACAGCACACACTCACACTTACACTTACACTCCTCTCACTTACCGTCAGCTTGGGCTGGAGGAGGAGGGGATTCAGTCTCTCCTGTGCTGTAGTTGGGGAAGCAGGGACTCCTTCCTGCTTCCCCTCTGTGTGCAGCAGTATGAGGCTGCATTTAGCTCCGCCCTCACATCCGGCTTGGCTCTCCCCCACTGCCGATCTGTCCCCGCCCCCAAATCTCTGTGCAGGTCTCCTGCTTGCTCCCAGTCCTAGCCCCTGCTTGTGTGAGCTGTGTTGGCTGCCTGGCGCCCCTGCTGCTATGGCACCCAGTGCAGCCACACAGCTCACTGAATTCCAAGCCTGGCCAGCCCTGGTGGCACCCCCCTACCTGATGGCACCCGGGGCGGAACGCCCCCCCCTTAGTACGCCACTGCATTACACAAAGTGCCACACAGAAGAGCAAAGAGGAGGTTGGCAGAAAAAGCAGGTAATGCTGTCAGGTCTCACTTAGGGTGAAGTAATTTGCAGTGCGATAGGTTACTGGGGCTTTCTGTGTCATCAGCGACCCCATAACCTATCAATGGAATAGATTTATTTAAAATTTGCCTTTCTGATTGGAGAGTTAATTTGAATTGTTATTTAAAGGAACACTATAGTCACCTAACCAACTTTAGCTTAATGAATCGGTTTTAGTGTATAGATCATTCTTCTCAGGTTTCCATGCTTAATTCACTGCCATTTAGGAATTAAATCTCTTTGTTTCTGTTTATGCAGCCCTTGTCACACCTCCCCTAACTCTGATTGACACAGTCTGCATGAAAAAATAAAAAACTGGTTTCACTTTCAATCAAATGTAATTTACCTTAAACAATTGTATCTCTTCCTCTGTAAATTAAACTTTAATCACGTACAGGATGCTCTTGCAGGGTCTAGCAAGCTAGTAACATAGCAGGGGATAAGAAAATATAAATTAAACAGAACTTGCAATAAAGGAAGGATAAACATTAGATGACTCTTTACAGGAAGTGTTTAGGAAGGTTGTGCAAATCACATGCAGGAGGTGTGACTAGGGTACATAAACAAAGTGATTTAACTCCTAAATGGCAGAGAATTGAGCAGAGATTGCAGGGACATGATCTATACACCAAAACTACTTCATTAAGCTAAAGTTGTTTTGGTGACTATAGTGTCTCTTTAATATGTTATACCATTGCAGTTAATATGATATAAACTTAATAAATCAGTTTATAGTATCATAACTGCCAATCTTTCCTGCCCACCTGTCGGGATGGAGGTAGGCAGGGAAGAGAGCAGGAAGATAGTTCCCTAATTATTGTGGTATTGCCATAAGCATACCAAAAAGGAGCTTCCTAATTTGGTATCTTTAAAAGTATGGCAATCACACATGGATTCAATTATAGGGAGTTTTCTACTAATGGCTGCAAGAGGCAACCGAGGCACAGATCAGAATTTCATTCTTCCAAATGAAATTCCTGTAACAAAAATAAGGAAACAGATTGTGACGGAACGCTGGCATGCTCCTAGCGCTTGCCGAGGACTCCAAGCACTCCAACCGACACCATCAGCACTGCAGACCCCACTTCCAGCGATGCAACTGCGCTGGGGTCTCTGCTGTCTCCACCCACCCTGGACCCAAGGCCAGGATCCAGCTTCCAGTGGGTGAACCTCTCTTTCCCCAGAGAGCAGGAACAAGCTCTTAGCAGAACTTAGTGATCATACCCTGGGGAGTATAGTGATTATAGCAATCCCCAGAGTGTATTTCTCCAATCCCCCAAACATGAGCCAAGGCTTAATGCTGGAACAAGACTGATTTACTGGCACACAGAACTCACAATTTATGCAACACAAAACTCCTCCTCTGGGCCAGGCTAGATAATTGAGTTTCTACAATACACAAAGCTCAATTATCTGCTGGCCAGAAATAATACAGTTTCATAAAACACACAGGGACCCCAAAACATGCAATAACCCCATAAAAAGTATATCCTTGGAACCGGGGGATCTGGTTGAACCACATATCCAAAATTCACCCAGATCCGTTCAGTACTTTGGAAAATACAGTTTAATGCAGATTCTGCAGAACATATACAGGCTAAATAAAAAACAATCACTGTATAATGTGTCCCCTGCTGTATAGTCCCAAACCACTGCACGATGTCTCTGTGCACCAAATACTGGCGAGATGGCACTGTGTTGAAAAGTCCAAACAGTGTCTGTGAGTTAAAATGGCTGCCATCCATTGTTCTCACCATGTGCTTCTGATACAGGAAATGGTGGCCACCCAGTAACTCCACAGTATGTCCCCAGATGGTTCTTAAAGGGCCAGCAGCAGCACAACACAAATCCATTTTGCCCAAATCATGTCTTTAAAGGGCAATACATCCCAGGGGCCATAGTCACAGGGCAAGAGGCGGGCAAGCAGTCCTCTCCAGGCACAAGTGGCGAAGGGCACTTCGTCACACAGATGAAACTAAAATTTGCTTCGTCCAAAGGTGTTCAGACGAAACAAAAATTTTGGCAGCTCCCAAATCTACTGAGCATCACTATTCTTGAAATTTCTTGTCCACATTGTTGTGTATTCCCTTATCAAGTGCCTGTTGTTTTGTACATTTGGAATAAAGTCAATGTCAAAATAGCAGAATTAGAAATCAAATGGCCTTAAATTTGAAATTCAGTTTAAATTATCTTTGAATTTCTGGCAATTTTCACTGAAGTGAATAACCTTTCCAGTCACTTAGACCTATTTTGACATGTGGTACTGGATCTTCACTCAGAGCTGAGAAACTACATATCATAAACCAGTCTTTAAGGCAATGCTATGAAAAAGCAATGCTCATAGAATGGCATTCAGCAAAATGTAAATATGCATGCTCCTCTTAGACTTATTAGTCTTTAGAATGCCAGCCCTTATTTCTGTACATTCTTTTATTAATGCACTGTTATTTTATGTTATTATACAAGAAACATTTACTAACATTATCAATTAAACTTGGTATATATTTCAAGTTGGTTAGATATGTCATATATATTGTAAAAAACATCAACGTGCTCTAATGGTTTAAATGGAGGTTTGTGAACTTCGTTAATACATATTATTATAATGTAAATCATTTTGCCTAACCACATGAAGATAAAGAATAAACACACAAATTGTGCATTTGAATACAACAAAATGATTAATATTTTATTGATTAGATATTAATACAATACTTTAGGCAGTGCTTACTGTTTGATGCATGATGCATTAAGATTGTCATTCTATATATAGTTTGCGACTGTGCCTTAATATACAGTAAGTTCGAAACTGGATGTATTTTTAGCATGTCCATAAATATTTTAATATGAGGTTATCTATTGTGTTTGTGTGAAATCTTATTTTCTTGGTATTTTATCTGTCACAATATTAGTTAAATTGTTGCATGATTATTTCCATAGAAATTAAAATGTATAATAATGTAAGTTAATATTTGCTAAGCGTTCTGTCTTTCTGAAACCTGTTTTTCGATTTGGAAAGACTTTATTGCATTTAACTGGGTTATTGAGAATATTTACATGTATAATGAAGCTTAATTTATAACTGGCTATAGTATGACTCACTTTAGCCTATGTCTAAAGTCTGAGCACAAGGAGCCATTTACTTGAAACATGTAAAGTATTAAATTCAGCATATGGGCATCTCAATCGTATTGTAATCTAAATATGAATTAAAATATAAATATTATTTATTACATTTGTGTAAAACTTTACGTGTTTAAATTTTGATACCCTCACTCACATACACATGCCCCAATTCCATATTTAATCCTCACTCAGCCAGGCTAAAGACCCTCTAATTCACTTCAAAAATCCAACTATTCCACCATTTTACACCACAATCACATCTTTTCTTTCATTTTTTTCATATTTTTTCATTTTCATATTCAGTCAGTCTTATATATATATACAAATGTATTACAAGAAAACAAAAATAAAAAAAACATATACTTATCAGTAGAGATGTCGCGAACCGTCCGCGAACTTCTCGCGAACGGTTCGCCACGGTTCGCCAAGAACCGTTCGCGGCAAACTCCGGTCAGCTGATACATCCCGGCCAATCTCCAGCAGACCCTCCCTCCCAGACCCTCCAACCTCCTGGACAGCATCCATGTTGAAACTGCCTTCAACATGGATGCTGTCCAGGAAGTAGGAGGGTCTGGGAGGGAGGGTCTGCTGGAGATTGGCCGGGATGTGTCAGCTGAACGGTTTGCGGTGAAGCGCGGCGAACCATTCGCGAGAAGTTTGCGGACAGTTCGCGACATCTCTACTTATCAGTAAACAGAAAAACAGCTTCCCACCAAACACCTCCTAAATAGTGTTGCGTCTAAACAAGCCAAAAGATATAATACACGTAGGATTCAGCTAATAAATCTAAAATATAATAAAAAAAGAACATAGGATAATACAGTTGATGGACATATAATATTCCCTGCCAAAGATTGCACTCACAGGATTTTGGAGATATTTGCGCTCTAATGGTGCCCCCCCCCCGATGTTTTGGGGGGCTAATATCTCCCTCCTAGGATCAGGTATCACCCAATATCAGGAACCATGCAGGACTCCGACAGGTAGATGAGTTGAAAAGAGGTTTATTGGTAATATGTAGAAAAAGGCAATAAAATAAAATTTGGTCTTACGCGTTTCGTCTTCTTATAGGACTTCCTCAGAGACCAATATTCAATAAAAACAATTATATCAATGATGCTCCCAAAAAAGCAGCCTAATTCCACCCTCCCATCGGTCCCATTAAATAGGGCTAGTCCCTTTAGTTAATTGGTGATTCCAGTGGGTGTCTTCCCTTTCATTCTTCTTATTGGTGGTTTCCAGATCCTTTTCACTTGTTTCTTGGTCGGGGATAGTTGATGTTGTAGTTACAGCTGATCGGTATTGCGAAAAACGGCAAAACCGGAATTGATGTATCTCACCCACTTCTGTGCATTCCAGCTTGTGTTCCAGCTGAGCATTCCACTGTGACATCAGAAAGTGGATCGTTCTCCCCCTGGTGTTCTCCAAGGGAATCAGCTTAAAATAACTCAATAAGATTAACTTCCAATTAGCTGGAGAGTTATATCTAAATAGAAAGGCAACTAGTGCCAATTTTTTTATCTAAATTGCATAGAACACATGTGCAAAAATTTGAAACAGTAGGATAAGCCACCACCCATAAAAGATCTAGATGATTATTTCAGAAAAAAATTGAAGCTATTTAACCAAGAAACCAAAAAATGGTGGGAGGTGGCTTTTCTAGAAAACTACCTCAAGGAGGGTTTAATACCATTGGGTTTACGTGTAGACAAAATACCTGCATTTGGAACAGATGATGAATTGTTTCTTAAAGAATGGGACAACATTCTTCAGAACTGTTCAATCCAATTGATACAACTAATTCTAAAACACTCTAGAGACAGACAAGAAAAATTGGAGCAGGAACTGGAAGAATTCAAGTCCAAATCTCCTATTGATGTAAATGATGTGGAATTTAAGGAAAGAGAGGAAACTTTGCCAAAAAATATTAAAAACTAAGATGAAAAGATAGCAGAAGCAAAAACTAAGAACTATAGACGAGATAAAGAAGATACAACTCTGAACATTTTTTCCACAAACAATATAATTTCACAGAGAAAAAGGAGATCCAATAGTCGATGTAGAAGAATTTTTTTAATCCCCATATAATCAAAGGAGGAACTCATCCTCTGAAATTATAAAAAGAGGGATTCAATAGAATCCAAAAAGGTTCCCACCACCCCAATATACTAACTCCAGAATGCAACATTTGAATAAAGACAAAGAACGACCCCCTCACAGTATTCCACACTTCGAACGGATACCCCACAAAAGAGAATCAGATTAGAAGATTAGAGAGTCATATGTCACTACATAAAAACCTAGCTGTAAATGATATGAAAAAAGGTATATTTAATATATGAGGTATTCCATTGTCAGATGACGAAATTTCAGTATTAGAAAAAGGCATGAAATTTGCCCTTAACCATGAGGGAAACAAAATGGATCTATACCTAGACCTAAAAAAACACATCAGATCTATGACTATTAGACGGCATTTCCTTATGCATCCTTCCTTGTCAAGTGATATAGAAAGTGAAGATCCTCAAAGGAAACATTTTAAACCAAAATCCCATTTCTTCCCAATATAAAGCAAAGGTCCCTATCTGGCAGTTTTTGAACAAATGGTTGATAACAAATTTAGATCTTTGTTCAGTAACTGCAAAAAACATTTGACAAAAAAATTAACCAAAAAAGAGGAATTATGCCTAAACAACCTAATGAAGAGACTGGATATTGTTATTAAAGAGGCAGACAAGGGGGGAGATATAGTGGTCATGTACACTGAATATTATCTCCATGAAGCTCAAAACATCTTAGGAGATGCTAAAACAATTAAAGTACTTAAATAAGACCTCACAAGAATCTTTAATGCCCAATTAGAACAACTATTGAAACAGGCCAAAATAGAAAATATAATTTCTCAAACAAATTTTGAATATCTATTACAACATACTCCTACAATTCCTATTTTTTATTTTTTACCCAAAACTCATAAAAATTGGTTACAAGCTCCGGGACGTCCAATAATTAGTGGGATAAATTCAATTACAGCCAACAGCCAAATTTGTTGATTCATTTTTGCAATCATATGCACAAACAGCACCATCTTACATCAAGGACACTAACATTTTTTTGCAGGAATTTGAGAACATCGAGTGGAGTCCAGAATATAGCTGGGCAACACTCGATGTTACTTCATTATATACACTCATTGAGCACAATTTGGGACTTGAGGCTATAGACTATGGATGTGCATGGGAAAAATATGAAGTTCGGCATTCCTAAATCGGGACTTCGGCACTTTGTGACTTCGGCACTTTGTGACTTCGGCACTTCGTGACTTCGGCACTTTGGTTCGGCACTTCGGAACTCCAGCACATCGACACTTCGGAACTTCAACACTTCGGAACTTTGGCACTTCGGGTAAGTGTAGGGTTAGGGTTGGGGTAGGGTTAGAGGTAGGGTTAGGTTAGGGGTAGGGATAGGGTAGGGTTATGGTTTGTTTATGAAAAGGGTTAGGGTAAGGTTAGGGGTAGGGTTAGGGCAGGAGTAGGGTTAGGGTTGTTAGAGGTAGGGTAGGGTTAGGGTTGGTTTAGGGGTAGAGGTATGTTTAGGGGTAGGGTTAGTTTAGGAGTAAGGGTAGGGTTAGAGGTAGGGTTAGGGTTAGGGTAGGGTTAGGGTAGGGTTAGGGGTAGGGTTATGGTAGGGGTAAGGGTAAGTTTAGGGTAGGGTTAGGGTTAGGAGTATGGTTAGAGTTAGGGTAGGGGTAGGGTTAGGAATAGGGTACTCCAACCACTAACACTAACCGTACCTCTTCCCTAACCCTACCCCTAACCCTACTCCAACCACTAAACCTACCCTAACCCTACCCTAACCACTAACCCTACCCCTAAACCTAACTCTATCCCTACCCCTAACCCTACCTCTACCCCAACCAGTAACCCTATCCTAACCCTAGCCTAACCCTACCCTAACCCCTAACCCAACCCTCTCATGTTTTGCTACTTTTCAGAAATCCAAAGCACTTTGGCACATCCGAAATTCGGCACTTCGGCAATTTGGTACGGTTCGGCCTTCGGAAATTTGGCACTTCGGAAATTCGGCACTTCTGCAATACGGTTCGGCATTCCGAAATTTGCCACTTCAGAAATTCACCAATTTGGCCCTTCAGCACTGCGGACATTCCGAAGCATCCAAATGTCCGAATTTTGGAAATTGGCATTCAGAACTAAATTAATTGCTTATGTCTACTATAGACCATTTTTTGACCAGGTATGTTTGTATGCAGTGTGAATGTTTGTATGCAGGGGTGTATTTGTAAATAGTTTTGGAGTTTGAATGCTGAGATGTATGCACATGTATACACAAATACTACCACACACACACACACGGATACACATGCAAACATATATATACACACACATGGAAACACAGGCAGTTATACAGACACACAATGACACACATGTAGCTATAGAAACATACATAAATACTCACTGACACACATGCAGATACACAGACACACATATACAAATACTGCCACACACACAGATACAATGCAGAGGGTTCAATAAGTTTGCCTTCTTGTATCCTGAGAGTGCCTGGACTTCTCTTCTATTTTTCCTCATAGATACAAACACTGACACACATACATGTACACAGACACATAGAAACACACAATGACATACACGCAGGTCAATATTTACAATACAATAGACTTCCTATCTTTTGGGTGCAAGAGGGTGGCTTACCTGAGATCCAGTTGAATCTACTGGCTGAGGCTATTATGAGTCAGAGGTTAGCTCTCGCAGTTCACACTCTCTCCTCTCTGCCTTCTCTTCTGTCCTCCTCTCCCTCCTGTATGCCTCAGTGTTTGTTATCTGGGAGGAAGTGACAGGTTCTCACTTTCTCCCAGCATTGACTGTCGATATAAGAGGACTCTGGTCATGCTGTTAAAAAGCGCCAGTGCACAACAGGGCCCCTGATGATACATCACCATGGGGTGGACCCAAGTGCATGGGCCACGTGACAGGCCCCTTCAGCATGTGGACTTTTGGCTCTGTTCCTGCCTCTGCCTGGGGCCACTGGACAATTTGTAATTTCACATGATGAGTGCTCATGCCTTTTCCCCGATGCCCATACATACACACATAAAGACCCATATTTCTGATGCATGCATATACATCTACATATTCCCAGACACACTCTGAGATAAATACAATGTGGATACAGCAAAGAACAAAGTTGGTATGGATCAAGTGCTGTTGGTGCCTCCCCTGATACGAGTGGGGAGTAGCACAAAGAAGTCAATCTCAGATACAAACTCAAGCGCACATATAATCACTTCCATACACACTCAGATATAATCACTCAGATACTTACACAAGCAAAAAGAAACAGAATTATAAAAACTGACACAGTCATTCACAGATATACACACTGGCACACACTCAGATACACTCAAAATCACACATACTCAAAGCGCCATACACAGGCAGACACATTCACAAATACACACAGGCACACACACCGCCTAGAGCACATCAGCCCTCCTGCTGGTCTCTGTATGTAGTGAGCAGCGAACAGCAGTAGAGGAGCTTGTTTCCCTCTAACTGGTCTAACAGGAAGTGCGTGCAAGGAGAATCCTGGTCCATTAGAATATATTCTTCACATACATGATGTAGTAGTTATCAGAAAAGGATATGAGAACTTTGCTATCAACATCCTGGATCCTGAAGCAAAAATATTTTCAAGCTGAATTTCAAATGTTATTGAGGGCTGTACAGTTTGGGACAATATACTTATAATGGATAAGAACTTGAACAATTCCTACTTCTAAATTTCAGATTCCTTCTTAAGTAGAAAAAGGAAATTGTTGATAAGGAGATGGAAAATGTATGGGAATATATGTGTCATGCTTTACAGAATGCCAGTTTTGTCCTCATTAAATGTGTACTAAGCCTTACCAGTAATGTTATTTGAACTTAATTTAATGCAGTGGTATGTTCATAATGTTTGCATTTATTATGATGTCTTGCCTGTTTGTGTGATAGATTTATGTTTCTGTTTAGTTTTTTTTTCTAAATAGGAGGAGATTACAGTGCTTTCAGGAGAGTATCACATCAGTAATTAAAGGAACTCTCTTAAAAAAACCAAACCACTATATCTTAATTGTAGTGGTTTTGCTGCATAGATGCTCCCCTTTTGTCTGGCAATGTAAAACACTGACATTTCTGAGAAACAGCTTTGTTCACATTTTGCCTAAGGCACACCTCTAGTGACTGTCAGATTACTTTCAAAGCTCTTCACATTCACCATTATCATGAACAGAATTTTATTCATCACAACTCCGGATGCACCCTGAATGTTATGTCCTGTCATGTTAAGACCCTGTATGCTAAATGCTTTTCTATGAGAAGACCTATCAGAATGAATGACTTGGTCAAAAGAGAATCAGGCTGCAGCTAGGAGACTGTACAGCCCCATGCTATAGTGGTTATGGTGACTGGAGTGTTTCTTTAAAATATATATTTTTATTGTTTTGGTGTTCCTTTGATATTTCTTTTAAGCAGTTATTGAATGACTTTTGACACTCGCATTGTCCCCAGTTAATATTTAATAATTGTTGCCTCTTCTTCATTATAAATCAGTTTAGCTCTTTCCTCCATCTCAGATCCCACCTGCATATGTTAAAAAGTACTTAATTTCAGTTTATATTACAGTATAAATCTAATACGGCACCATAGGTTCATAGATCTTCACTATGGAGATCAGTGAGAGATGACATCACAGTAGTGCTAAGACCTAGAGTGCGGATGACACATGGGTGTTGAACCGTGTTTCACCTGGTAAGTAAATACACACTACGGCCAAAAATTAGACATTAGCTTGCAATCCTGACCTATGATATCCTTTAGGCTGACAAAGCATCATGGGTGTTGTAGTTTTCCAAGAGGCTGGAGTTTACCTTTTTGGTTGTTACTGTTCTACACCAAGGCCTGTTCTGGTTTTCATCTAAGATTATGAGGATTTCATTTTTAAAGTTCAAATTCACTAGAGCCAGCTCTTCTGTGTCACTTAGGCATTCACATCACTCTCAGCCGTTCGGCATTTACAAAGGATTGAGTATAAGGATTGTTTAATGTAATATATATATATATATATATATATATATATACATATATGCTTTTTTTCTCTCATTCCATATATAAAAAGGTCTAATGTCATTGATATAGCAATCCAGATTGTAAAAAAAAAAAAAGATAACACCTGCATGATCATTCACTAAATTGAGAATTTAGAATGGGTCACAGAATTATTAAATTGTAGGTCAAAATATCCAAACTGGAAATCTCCAACTTAGCTAGTAACCTTAGCTTGTCTATTTTGGCCTAAATGTATAATGAATGGGTCATTTCTTGTTATTTTACCGTTTAATGAATAACCCATTTGGCATAATAACCCAGAGTGCACACATTCCAAGGAGGGTGAAACTTGGATTGCGTGTTGTCTTTAACATCTATTTTATTTTGGGGGCATTGCTCATCCTTTCCCATATCTCATGACAGAAAATGTGAAACAGGAGACTGTCACAGACATTTGCTTACACACACACAGTCACTCATACAGGATCACAAGACAGTCATCTAATGCATAGAGCAAGGTAGGAGGGAGATAAGAGATGCTGGCTTGGTAAGGAGGGATGCAGGCAGCTGCCCCTCCCCCTCTCAGCACAGTGTTAACAGCTTCTGTTCATTTCCCCACTCCCCCTCCTCCACTCCCACATCAGCCTCTATGTCAGCATCAGCAGCAAGCACCAGGAGAAGTACTATTGCTGCTGCCTGCAAGAAGCTCAGATAAGGCAGGGGAGAGGTGATCTCAATCTCCCGTTACACTTACTGCTGCACTAGGGACACAGCTTCCTTCCAAAAGATGGGGGTGGCATCTCAAGCTTTCTAAAACTTGGGGGGACTTGCCCCCCTCCCCCTCCCCCCATTGCTACCCTCTCCCCACCCACCCCACTGCTTTCTCTTATGGATGTGCTGTAAGTCTGATCACCCCCCCTGCAACATCTGGGACTTCCCTGTGAACATTTTGGGTGGCCAGTTAAAGAGGTCTATTTCTCTCATCACTGAGGCTGAAGGTTGGGCACCCTCCACCCCAATCTAATGTCTTCTTCAATGGGGCCCAGAGGCCCTCGACCACCCACAGTGCCTCCCCCAATGCAAGATCTCCCCGATCTCAGCCATCTGACAGAGGAAGAGAGGAACATTATCATGGCAGTGATGGACCGGCAGAAGGAGGAGGAGGAGAAGGAAGAGGCGATGCTAAAGTAAGGGATTCATAAAACAGGCGATGACATTAAATCAGTGTTAAATTGGGAGCCCTTGTTTTCCAAGTGACAAGACGATGATTTACTGTAGGTGGGTTGCTTTAGATTTGATGCTATGTTTCACAGTGAGCTTTAACATCTTGGGTGCTGAATGGATGGGTGTAGCATGCACCTTAAGGTATTATGTCTGTTCTGTGCTGAAATGATGTCATTCCCTTTGGATGGAGTGAATCCTATCTGAAACAGATTTACTGTGTGGCTCCAACCTGCCACCCCTGCTCACTGACATGTCCCTGCATTGACAGGTAGCTGTGCTCTGATTCACAGCATTGCCCTTTTCATCCTCTACAGACACTGGATTGTGAGTGCTTTTCACTGTAAAGTATCTAATAATAATAATATGACCAATAATGACCAATGATGCCTGATCCCTGCAGTATGGCCTGCACAGGACTTGTCCTGCTTTCTGTCTGCAGCACAGGGACCTCCAGGCCTATTACTTTCTGGCACCACTGACAATATGCAGACATGCTGGGCAGTGGGCATAGCCTTCCCCAGTATGCTGTATAAACCTTAGCAGTGATACAGTGTATCGTTTGGATAGGCTTTATGAGTGATTTGTCTATTTTTTTGTGTGTCTTTTTCCCCTTTAAGCTACTGGATGCATTTTTTAATCATAAATAATACAAAAAAGACACATGATTTAAAAACCAATAGAATGAGACTGTGATGGGATACAAAATAACCACTTTCAACAGGCTTTGCTGTTTCCCATTATGCCCACCGTGTTTTTTTTTGTTTGTTTTTTAAAACTGTTTATACTCATGCTAAATGTGGCCATTGAATGCCTGTATAACCCCTGTCATAGCATGGAAGTGGATATCTCACCTCTTCCTGGGAGCAGTTGACTTGCTAGTCTTGAAAGCATGGGGTGTGGTTGAATTTTCTGATGTGTAAAATGTCGAATAGTCCAGTTTCTGTATTTTCATCTTATTGACAGGGAGAGCAGTCAGAGCTGTAGCCATTTTATTTACTCATGTATGCTTTTTAGGCTTTTGTCACATATAGTTTTTCGTTAATAAAGAAAAATGGTTTATTGCTGTACTTGTTGGTTTTAAAGATTAACCCACCTATTTGATGGACTTCATCTGTAGCATTTCATAACAGGCATACAGGACTGGGCATTATATGCTGGATTTACTACATTTGCAATGATATTATTCCCTATCAATTATAATAGGTTTGTGTTTGATTAATTGTATGGAATATTTATGATTAGACAATTCCATCCTCATCATAATTTATTTTTAACTTGAACTTTAGGCCTTCCAAACAGAAATTAAATCACACCTCAAAACATGTCTGGTATTTACTATCTCAATAGTCAATAGTCTATATAGTCAATAGGAATAGCCACATCTATTTTATGTGGGTCACACAAGTGGAATCTCTACATATATCTTATTTAATTCTTTAACTGCTTTGAAAAGGCCAATGGTCTTAAGGTTTATAGGGACAAATCACCCCCATTATTCTGTGCCTGGTATCCAGATGATAGCATGTAGAGGCTTAAAGAATAGTCAAAATGGTTATTTTGTTTTAAAAATGTAATACCATTTTAATAAATAAACCATTAGACTTTAACGGTTTATGATCATTTTACATTTACTAATATTTTTGTTACAGATATTACACGTTCTATTTTTTATTTTCAATTTGGCCCACTGTAAGACTAGTCACTAGTGTATTTGTAATTGAGAGAAAATAGTGTGAACAATAATGCAATTTAAGCAATGTAATAATGTAATATGATAACTAACTGCATGGCCCCGTTTACTTATCATTTTATGCTATATATACTATGAACTTGAAATGCACTATACATGCAGCAGAATATTAATATTACATATACGTGGCTGTTCATATTACCAGTGCTAGGTGACTATAGTGCATGGTCTGTCATGAAAGAAATGAGAGAGTATAAATGCACTACATGACATTGGGGTAGGTGTGGCCTAGGTTAAGAGCTGGTCTCAAGATGCTAACATGGTATTCAAATTGGCTTCTTTTTACAATTATTTTGCTGTTAATAACATAGTTGAGATGATATCTAATCAAAATATACACACCCTGTTTTATTTCAGATAAAACTCCCCACACCCACTATATGACTGTTTCTCAAAAACTCATTTATAGATGAATTGAATAAATGTGTAGCCAGTATGTTACTTTGGGTTATTCTGTAATTGGGAATATTCAAAGTCAGTGCAGTATTTAGGTAGACATTTTAAGACACCCTTTTTAATTAAATTTAAAAAAAAAAACAGTTTGTCAAGTGTGTTGAGGTTATTCAGATATTTTCAACCGTAGTAGCCAAACTGAAATATTTTAAATTGCTTTGTCATTTCTTCACATTCCAGTTTAGTGAATAAAGCCCAAAGTATTTAACATCTGTCATTGTCTTTTTTTTTTGAATTTTTTCTTTCTAAACTTAAGTTTTTAACATTGTATCAGTATAGTCTGTGTTTTGAATGCCCTTATTTATGTGAATTAGCCTGTACCTCTGCTTCCCGCACTACTGACATTATTTTCTATTCCAAACACTGTGCTATCCAGCCCTGCCTACCAGAGATTTTTTTTTAATGGGATGTGTTTATCATAGAATCCATTAAGGTTGCCATTTTGCATTGCAAGAATAGAAAGACTAAAATAGTACTGAATTGATGGTGATGAACACATTCTGAATCTATTATCTCATCTTACTGCATCACCACAGATAGGCCTAGTTACCCCAATCATTCCACATACAGGTACATCAAAAGCCATGTCACGGTCACTGAAAATGCATAGTCCTTGCCAAAACAAATGAAAAGTCTCCATTATTCCATAATCATTCATGTCACAATGCTACACTTAAATGCCTGCACAGTGCATCTCAGGAACATAATGGTTCTGAGTTCTCCAAAGTATATCAGACATAAGTGCATTTTATATTTACATCCACTGCACACCTCATTCTACTAATAGCATCAGTAGTCTGTATTGTGGTGGGTAAAAGAGGAACTCTCACTTTCCAACAGGGAATAGTTTTTTTTTAAGTCAAGAACTTTGGAATGATACTCAGACTTAATGAATTTAATGACAGGTGGATTATCAGGTCTGTGGGTGTAGTAGATGAGTAGTGAACTGCCAAATGCATTGGTAAAAGGGTTTGTGGAGAAGATGTTTGTCCTGCATCAGGCCTATGGAGGATGATGATTTTCCTTTAGAATGCTAACCTGTTACTGCTCTATCAGGTTTTCATGGAGCTAAATGTTCTTTGGGTTTTTCCTTCCACATTTGTGTGCAGCCTTATTTTGTGTCGTGTTTTAGACTTTTATCTTCATTGAAGCTGCAGACAGGTAGTCAGACTGTCTGTGAGGATCTCATTAGGATGTCATATTTAAGTTTCAGTTTGTGATACTCATAGATTATTTACATCTACCCTGAACTTCCTATCAGTGTGTGCTTTCAGTATTTTTGCTTATCCTCAAGGGCCCCAGATTATTGACCAAGGCACTGATTGAGGTTTATTCATTACAGTACAAATTCAAATCTGAATAACAAGATGAAAGATAAACATCCTTTTTTCCTTCTAAGGTATGGTAGAAGAAATCGTGCAACTTGTTTTCTATGCACAACAATTTACAGTGTGACAAATAAAGCCCACAGACTCACCTATGCTTAAATGGATATACCTTAGCAACAACATAGAGTTCAAAGTCACAGAGCAGATTTTGGCAGCTCTATTAACTGGTAAAAGTACCACAATTTGCCAAATTCGACTTATCATGTATCTCATGTATCTCAGGACATATTAATTTAGCTCAGGTACTGTTTAATGTTATATATACTGTAAAACTGGTAATAACTAGAACTTTAAGATGTTTTTATTTTGAACATATTTGGAGAGATTTATCCAGGCAGAACAGGTGCTATTTTGCAAAGTGTTAAAGGCTGAATTAAATTATATTGGATTCCATGATGACGGCTTTTTTATCACTTTGCCCTAGAATAGCACCTGTTTTTTCCTTGATAAATCTTCCCCTATATGTCTCATATTGTGTTGAGCCTTTTTCAAACTATCATTGCTTTTAAGTATTCTTTCTGCTCGTCAGTTAGCTTTTTACATTTTTCGGTCTTAAGAATTAAAGTGGAACTGTCACAGCTGAGATTTTTTTTGTACAACCCAACAGCAAGCTACACCTAGCGTCGGGTTGTGCTGTTATTTGAGGAGGAGTGCCTGAGTGTGCATGTGCTCAAATCGCATTTCTGTGTAGATGCCCAAGCATACATGAACTCATTTTCAAGGGCATTATGTTTGAAGATGACTCCCTGAACATGGAAGTACTGCACATGTAAACATGTTTTATTCTTACCTCCATATTAATTCTCACCCAAGTCAACAGTGTCAGTTCTGCTTTAAGTACTACATTGGTGAGACCTCACTTGGAGTATTGTACACAGTACTGGAGACCGTATCTTCAGAAGGATATTGATACCTTAGAGAGGGTTCAGAGAAGGGCTACTAAACTGGTTCATGGATTGCGGGATAAAACTTACCAGGAAAGGTTAAAGGATCTTAACATGTATAGCTTGGAGGAAAGACGAGACAGGGGGGATATGATAGAAACATTTAAATATATAAAGGGAATCAACACAGTAAAGGAGGAGACTATATTTAAAAGAAGAAAAACTACCACAACAAGAGGACATAGTCTTAAATTAGAGGGACAAAGGTTTAAAAATAATATCAGGAAGTATTACTTTACTGAGAGGGTAGTGGATGCATGGAATAGCCTTCCAGCTGAAGTGGTAGAGGTTAACACAGTAAAGGAGTTTAAGCATGCATGGGATAGGCATAAGGCTATCCTAACTATAAGATAAGGCTAGGGACTAATGAAAGTTTTTAGAAAATTGGGCAGACTAGATGGGCCGAATGGTTCTTATCTGCCGTCACATTCTATGTTTCTATGTTTCTATGTTTCTATTGGTGCTATATTATTGTCTCTTTATATCAGTGGGCTGACATTTGGAATTTCAATGTTAAATTAGTATATACTGTAATTTATAAACAATTAGCAAGTAGGTATAGTTCTAGGGCTTATATACTTAATGAGAAAATGTGAAACTACAAAGGCATTGCAAAAATCAACAGTTTGCAAAATTAACAAAGTGTTAGGAGTACAAAGCTGTATTTCTAACACTATAGTGACCCTCTGCTTCCGTTACCCTTCTTAACACTTATCTGCGTCCTTTGATGTTATAGCAAGAGGGAACCAAAACGCATGTGCAGCGACTGCCTAGTATGCATTAGGCCTTTCCCACAGGAAAGCAATGTTTTCCTATCTGGTTTTGCAAGACATTGGAAGTATTCATGCAAAGCGTGAGGACATCCAGCATCATTTCATGGCGTTAAACTCTGTGAAACAGCACAAAGTGTCTGTAGTGGCTGTCTAACCCTGTAATGGAAAGGTGGAAGTTTCTCTAAAACTGCAATATTTTCAACTGCAGAGTTAAGGGGACAGGGGCAGTACTCCAGAGACCATTTCAATGAGATGAAATGGTCTGGGTGACTATATTGTCCCTTTAATTCATTAATGCATAGGAACTAAAAAACCTCAGTGAAGGATAAAACTAGTGTTGTGGAGGGCTGTTTGGTGTTAAAATGGCCATTATAAATCAAAGTGCTGTTGATTAGCTGTCCATGGTGCTGAAGAGTCTGAACCAAACTTATAGCAAGTGAAAACAAATTATGTTATGTAGAGGAGCTTTTTCAAGATAAAACAGGTGCTATTTTGGGTTGCAAATTGCTGAATGTTAAGAGACATTCTAATGGTTTCCATGGTGACTGCTCCTTTTTGTTTAGCTCTTTACCCCAGAATAGTATCTGTTTATTATTTGAGCACTCTCTCCTGTAGTTTTTAAGTATGTTTTATAAAAATACAATTCAGTTATTTGCAGAGTGAGAACCCACATTTCAAAGCCTTTGATGATGATGATTATTATTATTATTATCCTTATTATTTTGATAGCATATTCCTGTATTTCTATTATAACAATTCACACAGTGGTTTATGCTGGATTAAATACTATGGCTACCATGGCATATTACAACAACAACAACAATTTAACCAGGGTGCTCACATGTAACACAGCATTTCTTTGTATGCTCTGCTGTAAAGATATTATAATATTATTACCCAATTGAATGGTACTACAGTACATTACTTTGACACATTTTAGATAAATATATTTTGTGTATTTGAACTTCCGACTATTTAAAATAAAAGCTTTCTGTATAATCTATTCTTATGTGGAAAGAGCTTTCTTTTAGTAGCCATCCTTTTACCACAATTGCTCTCTGGCTGGATCACAGCCTTGGCCACAGTGCGTAGATATATTCACCTTAGTGTGCCTGACACTCGGGATCATGAACTAAAGTGAGAAATCAAAGTGTATTTCGAATTTAAGGTCAAAGTAGCTATGCTTTCAGTTTGGCTACTCTGTATTAAATTTGAAATTCACTTTAAATGTTGCCAGCTTGATTCATTGATATTAAACTTTGCATCTGTTTTGTCAGTGAACCAAAAGTCACTGTTTAGTGAGTCAAACTTATAGTACACCATCCTAATGCAGACACATACAGTATGACATATCCAAAGAAAATTGACCCCTTAAAATGCCATGCCTAAAAATAAACTGGTTTTAATGAGTGAAAAATAAATAACATCTAATACACTTTAAGCAAACTTATGGACTTTTCTCTATATTTAGTGCACTATTTCAAATACTATATATTTTATAGAACTGTTCACTGCTGTGCATTGTTTGTTTTAACAAATCTAAATTTGTGTTTGGGAGGGCAGATTTCCAAGCTGACAGCATATATACAATAAAGGTTGCAAACAAGGCCAAAAATATGAGCCAGCACACACACACATTTCCAGAACATAAACTTACTCAGAACCATTCAGCAACATTTCAACCATATATGTGCTTTTATCAAGGCTTGATAAAGGCTCTTATCTAGGCTGAAATGTTGATGGAGGGTTTAGAATAAAGTTACTATTTTTTGTAATTCGTTTGTGAAGGGTTTTCATTTTGGATAACCATCTTTGTCCTGTGCATGTGAAGCATCTCCCTGTCCAGTTAGCCAATATATATAACTGAACAGGGAGATGCTTCACATGCACAGGACAATGATGGTATATATATAAAACATGATAATTATAAAATATAATGGCTATATCTGAGAAGACACAATTCGTTTATAAACAGTTGACTGTGATGAATAATACCCTGTCTTCTTGTGCTCTAATTACCTGCTGCTACAGTGGCTGATGTACACTTTTGCTGGAGCTGGTATTTCTGTTTCTTCAATATGCAAAGGCACAGTGAGAAAACAGATTCATTGGTGGAAAAGACTAAGGCTATTGTTGGAGTATTAGGGAAGACATTTAAACTTTCATAACTATTTTTAAAGTCTATTATTAAAGCCTAAATCAAATCTGGCAGGGTTACCTATTGAAGTGAAAATTGTCGGGAATTCAAAGTGAATTTCAAGTTTCAGGCCAAAGTAAACAAAATGGAAACATTCTTCAAGTCACCCAGACCTTTTTGACTAGTTTGGTCTTAAACTTGAAATTCATTCCTTTGCATTCCTGACAGTTCTCACTTTAGTCAATAACCGTGTATATATACAGCCCAGGTAAATAAGAAGTGTTTCCTCCTAGATGGTACGCTCATTTGAGCAGGCCCTCCATTTCTTGTATCTGTCAATTTTATTTTGTTTGTTAATGATTTGCTACTGTATCCCCATTGTATAATTGCAAAACACTGCTGACAGTGTTGACGCTATATACGTTATAATAATAATAATAATAATAATAAATGTAATGAATCATGGAAGAATCACTATAAAAATTTGACTATCGCTATAAAAAAAAGTTATCCAGGAGCTAAAAGTTAGAATACGAAGTGAATTATATATTTTTTTAAATTATGAATAATTAAATAAATGGCAATATAACATGGTAAAATCAGGTGAATAAGAATACGATAATACAATAATAAAAATAAAATATAAAATACGAGGATATATCAATATTTAAAATTTATTTAATATTTTCTAGTATTTTATTTTTATTATTGTATTATCTAATTCACCTATTTTTTTTTTTATTATATTGCCATTTATTTTATTACTCATAATTTAAAACAAAATAAAATAGCTCAGTTCATATTCTAAATATTAGCTCCTGGATACTAATTTTTATAGTAAATTCTACATTTGCTTTTTATACCCAGGACTGGTTAATCTTGATCCAGTTTGAGCTTTATTTAAGATGGTATTCCTTCACTCCCTCCACCCATTAAGGAAGCACTCCCAATCCAGCACCTGTTTGGCTGTCCTCCCATGTACTCCATATATACCAATGTAAAGAATCATATAAATAACAACCCAATCAAATAGTCAAGCATTTAAAACTTTATTGCAACTTCCATGCTGCAGAGTATCCAAATATCACAACATATATGTTTTCATTTTGAAGTCTTTTAGGGATCAACAGATTATAATTTCCACAGATTATTAGAGCCAATATCCAGCATATTTCTGATAATCAGTACCAATACCGTACTCACCTCTCTTAGTCATTGCACACTGCCTTCCGCATCCAGAAACTCTAGCTGCTAGCCAATGAGGAGTCACGTCACATCATCCCTCCCTGTGAGTTCCTGTATGCGGAGCTTAGCTAAAGGCAAGGAAGGTAAGACAGTGAATATACTACTGCAATTGACTGGAATTGCTCTCAGTAACAGCACTGTGCATTCTGGGATCTCAGTTATTCCAGCACGCCCTGACTGCCTGAGAGTAACAGGATTGTGATTACTGTCAGCTTGCTCAGTGAGATTGCGCGTTAAATGTACAGAATATTGGTACGGAGTATTGGCAATCAGCCCGAAAGGCAACCAATAATCTGTATCAGCATCAATCTTTATAATAGTGGTTGATCCCTAATGTGTCTTTTAATGTGTTAATTTGTCATGATATACATAACTGTTAAATTAATAAATATCAGAGGATTAGTATTTTGATGAATTGCTTGTTTATTGCACAATATAGGCCTTAAGTGTCAGTGGACTCTCCATAAAGTTCTGCCAGCCACAAACTCAATAATAGTCCTGTTAAAGCTGGAAGAATATTTACATGATTTTTCTGGAGAAAATAAAAAAAACAGAAGTTAGTAATGAATTTACTGGAACTGTTAGCAATTCACCTACCTTAAACAGGTAGTGTAATTTCTATAGAAAAGTGCATCAAGGCTAAGTAGATAATACACTTACCTTCACTGCATTTCCAGTACCTCCCAAGTGTTCTGCTTTACGAGGGACAGTCCCTATTTGGGACCAAAACCCTCTGTCCCTCTTTTGTATCCCAATTTTCTAGATGCCCCATTTCTCCACACCAATACTACTTACAGTAATGTGTCTTTAATTACAATAAATACGGTGGGTGGAGCAATGACATGCTGTCACGCATGCGGAGAGGTGGAGCTGGCGTGGTAAAAACAGTGGCTGAGGCTAGAGAGCATGGGGATGGTGCAGAGAAAACCTCTCCAAGCACGCCAGATAAATTCCAATAAATGTGTTTACAAATCGCATATATTTTAACGCTATGTCATTTGATATTGCTCAGAGCTGCCCCCAAAGGCCACACTCCCTCTCACACTTGTAAAATTAACGTGTTTCTTTGCTTATATAAAATGTTGGTATGTATTTTGGATTTCAGGTGATTTCATTGCACCATAATTCTCCAGGCACATGGACAATTGTGATCTGCTGATAGACATTCATTTCAGAGAGAGGAACACGAATGTAAGCCTTTAAATATGGAACAGAGAGGGTTAACTTAATTTGCACAGTGTTCTCTGGCATTAAACTTAAAGAATGCAAACCTTTAATAATAAAGACTGTAGGTATCCATTAAATTGTATATAGAAGCAAGATGTGACAATTACACTTTAAGGCAATTAGTACACTTAGAACATTATCATAATCTTACTGCCTATACTATACTATACTAAAAAAAATACTCTTTAGTTGCATTTCTAGACCATGTGCTATTTTCCTTTTATTTCTTTTAAGCTTCCTTTTATTATTTTATTTTTTTATTTTTTGATATATACACAATATATTTCTAACGTACGGCTATATGGTTTTAAAGTTACTACTACTAATCCAAACGCAAGGCTGTCTTTAGATCCTTCCCTTCTTCTTTATGAAGGCAAGTTAACGTCTAATCAGAACATTAATTATTATTTTTCTTATAACTCACTAAATGTTAAGTGACTGTTGATTAACCTCCGCCATCAATCAAGTTACACAACATTGTAATCCAATTAACATTCTGATGATGCAAATTGGAAGAGTTACCATATAACAGTCAAGTTGGAATAGTCCACACATTTACAGAAAATTAGCTTTAATGTGGACATGGTTAAAAAACAAATTTAAACAACATGTAGCCATATTCTGCTAAAGATGATTTAGACACACTTTATATCAGTGTTCTCTATAGAGGCCCACAGGTACAACCTAAAATGTTTTTATATTACCTATTAAATTGTGAAAACGAGGCTGTGCACAGTGTAACAACAAAATATATTACCTAACACCTTCTGGGCTTCATAATTCTGAAACATTGTATGCAGTTCTGAGGCATTAGATATTCGCCTCGTAGTTTACTAAATTGGTTATACATAATAATTGGTTATACATAATAATATTTCAGTTAGTGTAGGTACCACAAAAATACCCGTGCCTGATACCTGGGCAGCAGTCACGCAACTTAATAAAACAGGTTACCTATTTTTAATGGATTCACTATAACTTTGGCTCATGACTGACATTTTCAGGGTACTGCGTTGAATTTCTAGGCAAATACAGTTACTAACTCTACCATTTTGTATGGCATTGCCCCATACAACATCTAACTGGTATGCACGTAAAACTGAATGGCGAATCATAATCTTGAATGTATTGTAATTTTGAAAACTGACACGGTTTTCCCAATGTACTTTATCCTCTGTTTACACCTTCCGCATGAGGCATGCAAAGCTGATCTGATAAACCTTTTTTTGCCAACTGTAAAGATTACTATGGGTATAAAACAGCTGAGGATCTACTTCCCAGGGCCCCAATGCTACATATTGGTTTCCAGTAGATGACCCACAATTTGCTGGGTTTTTCCAACCAATCAAATAGCTATCTCCTGCTAACACTGTAGAGCTCATTTGAGGCTTACAAATCATTCAGTGCAGATAATGTTTTAATTTGTCTTTCCTAAAGTTCTCGTCAGTCCTATCTTCAATTGGTGAGGACCCTGATTGGTAAGTATTAAATTATTTCATTTACAGGTAATTTTTAATGGTAAAAATAGAGTGAATCCCTTCATGTACACATAGAAATAACGGAACACGGAGAGGGGACGAAGTATGGACTTATATTTATGCCCTTTTTATATTGAGTGGGCTAGTGATTCATACTGAGGTATTTGAACATGTGAATACAGTGCTGGAAGAGTCTATTGTGCCTGGTGTAAAAACTTGCTGCCGGTGTGCAGCCTGGGACAAAGAAAGAGGTGGACATATTGAGTATAGCAGAAAAGGGACATGCCACACTCAAGTTCTGTCCATAGAGATCCTTTCTAAGTTCCTATACTCAGTATCCCTCTGCACAACATCATAATGCAAGATTATATGAAGAGTTTGTTTGTTCTTTTTTAGTGTCAGAGGGCCTGTGTCTACAGCTCCATCTCCAATAGCCCCTATGCTAATCTGGTCCAGAATGACTACGGTAGCAGATGCACAGGAAGCCTGTTTATTGCTTCTTTTATGTGACTCAGTGGAACCCCTTAGCATCTTTCATTATTATTGTACCAGGGACATCTACATCATACATCCCCACGCCAGTTACATTTGTTTGATTGCCTCAGAACACTTAAGGTGTATATATTTCAGATTTTTCTTTTTTTTTTATCAAACACCTTAAGTAATAAATAATGTTTACAACATAAAAACACCTCTAACACATACCTTAATTAAGTATTCCAAAATGAGATATACTGCTCGATAGTAGTTTTTAATGTACACACAAATAAGCTATAAATAAGAAAATAAGAAATATGTTTTAAAAAAAATTTTTTTATAGCATACAGGAATATGCTTATGGCATAGACTGAATACCAAGAATTGACTGACAAGCGAGAGCAAGAAAAACCATGTACTTGACAGCTTTTCTCCTCTCCACCACAGCAACTACAGAGCATTTGCTGTAGTCACTGTGACTATTCAGCTGACGAGCATGATTTGTTTTGCTAGAAGAATTTAGGAATGGAATGATGGTTATCACTCTGTTCAGAAGCAGAAATGTTGGGAATAAACCCAAATTATTGTTACTATAGGTGACCCGCCCCTTTTCTTTGGCAGCATCAGTGCTATAGAGGAGGCGAATATAAAGCAATCAAATATATCTTTAATTCATGGCTTAAGGAAATATTACAGTTTCACTTTAAAAGGATAATCTGGCCATCGGTGAATATATTCTGAATTAAAATCATAACAATAAAATGTAAAAGTAAAAGGTTGCAAGTCACCATATCTACAGAATTTGACGTGCTTCCTTGCATTTCCTGTGAGATTGTGGAACATGCTAACACATAATACATTGCTTCACTCATGCGGTAAATCTATAGAATGGGATATACCATTAATTCCCTGTGGCATACCATCCATGCCTGTGGCATGGAAGCCTGTCAGATAAACTAAACACCAATAAGGATCCTTGGGAAAAAAAAAAGAAAGAAAAAAAAAATCTGGTTTTGATAATTTTTTTCTTTGCCTTCTTTTCCTCTGTTACGCGACGCGTAAAGCTTTAGTTACCTGAACTTTAAATATGAGAACATATATTTACACCCCCTCAGTAACTTGTATGTGTTTGTAACGAGTTGTTTGTGCAAACCTTCATATGCTAATTTTTAACGATCACATTCTTAACGGGCGGAAAAAGTGAGAAATATTCCAATGGCAATCTGTCAATGTCAATCTGCTTGTTCTCCAAGCACTGTATGACCAGTCCTTAAAGTGGTGATTTATGCTCAGCCATCTGCTGTAGAATCATAAACAATTAGTTTCAGAGTCCAAAGTATACTTTTAGTATGTAAGTTTGGCTTTACATGGAAACTATTGCGCACATGATATATAGACAATGCCAAAACCAATGAGCAATGTAGAATATAAATAGCGATGAAAGAGTCTCCGACTCTGTTACACGCATGATGCCTGCTGTGTTTCTGCTGGAGATGTGTGCATTATTGCTGATTTAACATGGACCACCACATCACCATTCATAGTTTGAATTTAACCCTTTTTGTGCACAAGTAGCTTTGATGTCCTCTTCATTGGTTCTAATAGTGGCTCTGTCACTCCTTTTATACCCACCCCATTTTTAAAAGATGAAAACGTTATGAAATGATCATAAGTTCTGTATTGGAATTTCAGTTTCTATTATGGGGGATTTTGAGCAATTTTTGTAAATTTGATACCTGTATTCCTCTGTCATACATATATAGAGGTAATGATTAACATGCTGAAACTCTGTTCATTTGGGTGTGTTAATGTATGCAAATTCTTTCATAACTTTGAAAGAAATTCAAGTTCAAAATATATCCCATAAAACCCTTTAGAAAGAAAAGATATTCAAAGTGCAACACGCATAATATCACTCTTTGTACAATATAAAGTGCACTTAAATATTTAAAGTAACACTATTGGCACACAGACCACTTCATCTCATTGAAGTGTTTTGGAAGAAGTGTCCCTGTCTCCTTAGCCCTGCAATCTAAAACATTGCAGGTTTAGAGAAACTGCAGTGTTTATATTGCAGGGTTAAGACTGCCAAACAACCACTACAGGTGCTTCCTGCTGTTTCACAGAGTTTTACTTTGTGAAACGATGCTGATGTACTCATGCTTTCCATAAGGATGTCCAGACTTTGATGTACTCAATGCTTTCCTATGGAGAAGGTCTAACATGCATTAGGTTCCCCCCATCAGCTGACATCGGAAAGGCCCTACCCAGCGCCAAGAGACCTCGGCACTGGAGTCAGGTAAGTGTTTATTTGGTTATTTAACCCTTTCATTTATACGGGGTCGGCGAGGAGGCAGAGGGACACTTCAGTTTTGTATTCCTAACACTAGTGTGTTTCTTTAAACTCCATTGTTGATTCAAAATTCAAATGATACCATAAAAACAGAAAAACATATACACAAGTAAAATTTCCTTATATTCCCCTTTATTATTATATAAGGGGATTTTACTTTGGATATTTGAGTGTATGATTTTTCAGTTTTAATAGACATTTGAATTTGAAATCAATGGTTTAGTTTAAGTATTTGAGAGCACTTTATATTGCATAAAGAATGATATTATGCTACCACTATACAAATATATACCCTTAAAATCACCTATGTTATCAAACTAACATGATAGTGAAAGGCAATATGGCCATATGGTGGAACTGAATCCCCATATAATCACCATATTTGTATGCAAAGATAGATGATTTTAAGTAGCCTTGTAAAATGTAAAATAATATTTTTGTTTGAGTGTGTGTGTGTGCGCGTGCGTGCGTAGGTCATACCTTTCGTACCGCGTATTTTGGAGTCCAGATCAGATTCCTTTTTGGTTGAGCACCCTGCCACTCCCCCATCTTCAGATGCCCCTTTGGAAGTGATCACAAGAAAGTATAAATTTGAGAGGTTTTAGATAGCCAAAAATGTCACTTTAATTATAATTTTCATTTGGTATAGAGCATATATATCATAAGCATTGTAAGTATATATAAAAGCATTATCACTGCATTGTTTTTATCGTGTTTTTTGATAAAAATTCATTTTGCATTCTATATATTTACAATGCTTTTACAACAGATTAAATAAATACACTTTAGTTCATTTAGCACTAGCACTATTTAATTTGTCACCCATGTCGCGGGTACTGTAGCATAGTGATGGTCTTAACATGATATGGCTATATGGTGGAAATGAATCCCCTATTTATCTATATTTTTTAAAGTTGTATTTTTGTCTGTGCCCTGTTCCTTCTAGTGTCTGGAGTCTCCTTGTGCCATTCTTTTAATCAGCGTCAAACCGTTTTTAATGCATTAATGCTAACGGAGTCCATAGCAGCCTATTCCCTCTGTGTTGCTTGGGCTAAGCAGGAAGCATTAGACTGAGCAGTACTGGTGTCAGTGGTTGGCTGAGAGCATCAGCTGACCATTTTAGCCTGCCACAACACCAATTGCTGGTCTAAACTGGTACGACTAGAAGGAAATATGTAATCTCTGCCTTACCCACACCTCCAGTAGGTGCTCTAAAATAGTTTAACCCTGAACTATTGGAGGGACAATGTCAAATAGATTCCAGGCACTATAACCAATTCAAAGATGAAATGGTTATAGTTTCTACAGTGTCTCTTTAAAAAAATATTTTTTTTACAGTGGAAAAAACTGCCTAGGACTTTTTGTACTTTAGTGCACAGTTAGCCCACATATATAATTTAGCATGTGAATAGAATGTCTCAGGTGTGGTGAAACATTATTACATGTGTGGTAGGAGTGATCTGAACCCAACTCTGTCTTCCTATTCCATTGTTCTGCATACTGATGACTCGCATCATTCTGGCATCAATACTGAGGCTCAACCCTGCCCTCAAAGTCTATTATAGACTTCACTATACTTGTCATTTTACAGATGCGATTTTGCTGAAATCATGAAACCATTAATAAAACCATTGAAACCATGGAATGACAAAAAAGGGGCTCTCCCTAGCACTCATAATGTCCCACTTCATTAACCGCATTGTTAATGTGGAATTAACATTTCCATATAATTCATGTCAATTCTGCCCATCCTGGATGGTTTTGATTGGCTAGGAACACTGAGGGAGGGGATGCATGGTCAAGGTAACCCAACATTCTCAGGCTATCCATGCTAAGCATGCATTATTAAAAGGACACTATAAGTACCCAGACCAATTAATCTAATTCAAGTGGTCTGGGTGCAGTGTTCCTGTCTCACTTAGTCCTGCAATGTAAAATATTGCAGTTTTAGAAAAACTGCAATGCTTACATTACAGTACTAAGACAGCCTCTAGTTGCTCTCTACGAGACAGCCACTAGAGGCATTTCAGGGAGTTTACTGGACTCTAGGTTATCTGACACTGGACATCCTTTTTACCTTTTATGTGCCAGAGGGGGGCTGCAAGTGAGGTGGGAGCGGGTTGTACAAGTTCTCTTCAAAACAAAACCTGGAATTTAAGCTATATGCCTATTCAACCAGAATTTACCCACACTAATTATATAATCATTTTGTTCAGGAGAAAGAGGGTTTTCATTTCACTTCAAATTGTAAGATATGAAACAATTTAATATGAATAAAATCTATAGACAGTTTGAGAAATTTAGACATTTAATTTTCCAAGGTTTGCATGGCATTTTAATTGTGAATGTTGCAATACTATTAGCTTTTACTGCAATAAAACAGATATTTGTATGCTGTGATGTACCACGAGAACAACATTGTACAGGATTCATGGTTTTTGGAAAGTTACAAGTCAAATAGAGAGCTTGCCCAAGGAATGAAAATTACCCCTGTCATGGAATACCATTTGCAAAAATAAAAAAAAACCAAGGTATTCAAAATAGGGAATGGCCAGTCTTTTTTTAATAGTCACTAATCTTGGCCAAAGTTATTGCTCACATTTGTTTTATTTCATTTTTCACACAAAAACTACACTTTCATTTAGGATATCATCATCATTATACTGTTTACTGTTTTAAAACACTCATATTTAAATTCAGTGAAGTCTCATAAGTACAACAGTACCCTCATGTACAGGTTTTGTGGGGTTTTGAAAAGTTACAGGGTCAGATATAGGACTTGCAAATTAAATTATCTGGTAAATATGCCTAGGCAGGCCCCACAATAATTAATTAATATAGTAATATAATGATATATAAATAATATATAAAATACAATTAGGATGACATACATTCAGACATACATATTCACTTTAGGTTCTCACTTTGTGGTCGGCAGATGATAGCAAAAATAGGGACCATGATCAGGACATAAGGAGTTCAAATACTAGAAGGCCAAATAGAAGTAACTGGGTGGATAGCAACATCCAAGTGCCTCCAGAGAGCCAGACAGGTCCTGAAGTCCCAGGTCAATGGCAAGAACAAGATCCAAGCCATCAACACATATGCCCTACAAGTCATCATGTACGCAGATGGAAACTGGCAAAGACAAGTGTTAGTCGCTGTGGATGTCAAAACCCAGAAACTACTCAGATTACACCAAAAATCCAGCACTCTGGTGACTGTCCACCAGCCGGAAGAACAGAGGTTGGGGCCTTATGAGTGTCAAGGCCACAGTCCTGGAAGTAGCACAGAACAATCACAAATATATCATGAAGATGGTGCCCAAAGATTAACTGCTAAGGGAATGCCTGAGACAAAAACAGATAGAGGATGTAGAAGCGGAGGACATTCCATGACAAGACAAACATCTCCATGGGGAGTACCACCGGCAGATAGTGGATGTGGCTCACATTACAAAATCCTATCAGTGGTTGGAAAAAATAAGACTAAAAGAAAGCACAGAGGCACTAATCCTAGCAGTACAGGAACACATACTCAGCACCATATCAATACAAGCAGGAGTATCACACTAGGCGCGACCCAAGGTGGAGACTGTGCAAAGATGACTCTGAGACAATCCAGCACATAGTAGCTGGGTGCAAGATGTTAGAAGGGACAGCAAACACTGAGAGGCACAACCAAGTTGCTGGGATTATCTAGCGAAATATCTGCACTGAATATGGGCTGGTCAGGGATACCACAAAGGGTAGTTGACAATGACAGGGCAGTATCTTAGCTGTTTCTAGAACTGCACTCTTCTAGACAGTGATCTCAGTTGTCCTACCTGGAATCTGTTGAAGTCACTCCCCCAACTTGGGAGTAACAGACCTGAGTGCTCCTATCACAAATGGGACTACTGCTGCCTTTACTTTCCACATCCTTTCTAGCTCCTCTTTCTGTCCTCGGTATTTGTCTACCTTCTCATGTTCCTTCTTCCTGATGTTATAGTCACTGAGTATTGCCACATCCACCACCACTGCCGTCTTCCATTCCTTGTCTAATACCACAATGTCAGATTTCTTGGTCAGTACTTGCTTGTTTGTCTGGATCTGAAAGTCCCATGGGATCTTAGCCCTGTCATTCTCAACTACCCTTTGTGGTATGTTCCTTCAGGCCCATGTTCATCCCATATTCTGTGCAGATATATCGGTGTACAATCTGAGCAACTTGGTTGTGCCTCCCAGTGTATGCTGTCGCTAACAGTGCTAGTCTGGTGCCGAGTGCCTGTTCCTGTGTCACAACTGGTATATATGATTTCCTTTTAAGGGCATTTTGATGCCTGGGTTGTCAAGAAGTCCCCTGATCAGGATCTCTGCAGTAGGTGAGTATGCCGGGGTGATTATCCACAGGGCGTACTATGTTGCCCTGTGGCATTAAAGCCCACCTTTAGCAGGATGGCATAGCAACCCGGCCACTCTTTTGGGATTAATGTAGCCAAGGTATGAGGTGTTCTGTGTGTCCTGGTTGAGCAGTGGTTTACATTAAACAACTCCAAAATGGTTTTACAAACATTTAGAGTGTTTGCGACATAACCAGTACACTTACCTGTAGTAGTGTTATTATTTACACTGCCCCTTTAAAGTCTGAGTGTTGTACAGAAATGTTCTGTAGTGTTATAGTATAGAATGTATTGTGCACTGGATCTGTAGTTGCTGTGGTGGATCTGATCGATTATTTGTAAAGTTATATGATTGTTCATTCTATTTAAGATACACTTTTTATGCATTATTCTTTTATTTTATTCAGTCCCTGTTGCATTTTAGTTTGTATTACCACATATTTTTATGCTTGTTCTAGAATCTTTCTAAATCGTTAATGAGACAATTCTTACTTGACCTTGTTATAATTGATTTCATGTTGACAGACGATGTCTGGCATCCTCTCCACTTTTATATGCGCAGCTTTTTTGTACTGTATATTTTGCTACATTATGTAGGGAATTTAAATTATAGCTACGTTTGTTATATATCACAAGGATTTCTCAAGTTAGAGGCTAAACTGATTAGCTGTTAAATCATACACATGCATATGTTCAACATGAGTGTTAATGATGTGACGCAGGTTGTAGAGTGAAACATATGGGGCAGCTCCTTTTGTCCCTGAGTTGGACAAAGCTATTATATAGATAAGTGTCAGTGCATTTGGGAGATCCCTCGTGCTGCATTTTGGAAAGCAATTTTTAAATTCTTCATTCATGAAACCTGGTGAATGGAGCTGTTGATAGTCATACCCTGTATTGGCCCCATGTATTGTCTACCACGCCCAACGCAACAGATGAGGAAATAGCAAGCAACGGATATCTCCTTGATGGTTTTAGTTGAAGCTTTTATTGGTCACCCTCTCACAGCCTGGTCTAATAAAAGTATAAGCCTCTTGAGTGTCAGTGGGTTTGTTTATTATTTATTAATAGTCACTCTAGCAAAAAGCTAGTGGAAGGGAAAGGGTCTGGCAAATTATCATTTTTACTACTATTCATAGGTACTCCTGTACTGAATTTTATAGCACAGACAATTTTCTGTGGATTTGGTGAATTATAGAATTCTTCTGTTGTTGTAATTGTTGTATATGTTATGGGGATTGGAAGTAGATTTTGACGTTTACCAAACTACTCCCTACAGGTAAATTAAGTGGGTGGGTACCTTTCATGTTGTATTTTTCCCAAATAGATATAGGGAGTTGGATGCATCATATCCATCTGTCCCCATGTCCATATTATTGGAGGTCATGAGTGTATAGCAGAGCTCCACAGCAATAATACTCACAGTCATGTGTTTTTAAACACACTGTTCTCATTCTGAATTGCATTATAATTGCATCAACTGTTATTAGTAAGTCAAACACCCAACTCACACATCTGAATTTAAAGTGTCTGTCTTTGTCCATTTGAAATGTTGGGAGGTATGCCCATGGAGAGGCATGGAGAGAAATTTAAAAGGATCTTATACTGAAGGGATGCTAGGCTTGACAGGGCTCCACCCCTGACGCTTCCTCTATTTTAATGCCCTTACCTCTTAATTTATAATCCTTCACCGAATTAGGATTATAAAATGTTCCAATTAACATATGTCTACTTGTCACATACAGTGAGGGGAGAAAGTATTTGATCGCCTGCTGATTTTGAACGTTTGCCCACTGACAAAGAATTGAACAGTCTATAATTTTAATGGTAGGTGTATTTTAATAGTAAGAGACAGAATAACAAAAAAGAAAAATCCAGAAAACGCATATCAAAAAAGTTAGAAGTTGATTTGCATGTCAATGAGTGAAAAAAGTATTTGATCCCCTATCAATCAGCAAGATTTCTGGCTCCTATGTGTCTTTTATACAGGGAGTGCTCCTAATCTCAGCCCGTTACCTGTATAAAAGACTCCTGTCCACAGAAGCAATCTGTCAGATTCCAAACTCTCCACCATGGCCAAGATCAAAGAGCTATCAAAGGATGTCAGGGACAAGATTGTAGACCTACACAAGGCTGGAATGGGCTACAAGACCATCACCCATCAGCTTGGTGAGAAGGTGACAACAGTTGGTGCAATTATTCGCAAATTAAAGAAACACAAAATAACTGTCAGTCCCCCTCGGTCTGGTTCTCCATGCAAGATCTCACTTCGTGGAGTTTCAATGATCATGAGAACGGTGAGGAATCAGCCCAGAACTACACGGGAGGATCCTGTTAAGATCTCAAGGCAGCTGGGACCATAGTCACCAAGAAAACAATTGGTAACACACTACGCCGTGAAGGACTGAAATCCTGCAGCGCCCGCAAGCTCCCCCTGCTTAAGAAAGCATATGTACAGGCCTGTCTGAAGTTTGCCAATGAACACCTGAATGATTCAGAGGAGAGCTGGATGAAAGTGTTGAGGTCAGATGAGACCAAAATCAAGCTCTTTGGCATCAACTCAACTCGCCGTGTTTGGAGGAGGAGGAATGTTGCCTATGACCCCAAGAACACCATCCCCACCGTCAAACATGGAGGTGGAAACATTATACTTTGGGGGTGTTTTTCTGATAAGGGGACATGGCAACTGCAATGCATCAAAGGGATGATGGATGGGGCCATATACCGTCAATTCTTGTGTGAGATCCTCCTTCCCTCAGCCAGGGCATTCAAAATGGGTCGTGGATGGGTATTGCAGCATGACAATGACCCAAAACACATAGCCAAGACAACAAAGGACCAAGAAGAAGTACATTAAAGTTCTGGAGTGGCCTAGCCAGTCTCCAGACCTTAATCCCATAGAAAATCTGTGGAGGGAGCTGAGAGTTCAAGTTACCAAACATCAGCCTCGAAACCTTAATGACTTGGAGAGGATCTGCAAAGAGGAGTCGGACAAAATCCCTCCTGAGATGTGTGCAAACCTGGTGGCCAACTATAAGAAGCATTTGACCTCTGTGATTGCCAGCAAGGGTTTTGCCACCAAGTACTAAGTCAAAGGGGTCAAATACATATTTCACTCATTGACATGCAAATCAATTTATAACTTTTTTAGACATGCGTTTTTCTGGATTTTTTTTTGTGGTAATTTTTGTCTCTTACTGTTAAAATACACTGATCTTTTCTTTGTCAGTGGACAAACATTCAAAATCAGCAGGGGATCTAATACTTTTTTCCCTCACTGTATTTTATACATTACATCTGTTATTGTTATTTTTTTGCATCTTATTACCAGTTTCATATTACATCATTGATTACTATCATTATTTTCTTTGACCCTATGTTTACTATTCAAACAGCAATTGAGATAATAAACTTTGTTGGAAATCCCCATTATCCTTTGCACCCTGCGTATCATTGTAAAGGACCAGGTCGACCTCACAGCCTGAAGTAGATGGGTTCTTTGGGTGAAATATAAATATGTGTATCTTTTGAGGTCTTCGACAAAGCATTCCTCTTTTTAGGGGACTTTGTTGATTCAGTTTAATATGAAAGAAAAAAATCCAGTTCTGAGTTGAATATGCAGTCATGGATAACTCTGATGCAAGCATTGTTCCTTCTCAAACAGTTCATCTCATCATCCAGTTTTTTTGATCTTAATGCTTGCCCACCATTTTGGTTTCAAGTTTACCTTTGCCCCCGTTAAGAAGGGTAAGAGCTCACTTTTATTCCAGAACAGCATGGGTCTCCCGCAGCTGGCTTAGCCAGGAAGCACCTCTAGTTTTATTTGAGTGATGGCCAGAAGAGGTTTTACTAGGCAGTAATGTAAACACTGCCTTTTCTCTGAAAAGGCAGAATTTACATTTAAAATCTTTTAGGGATGTACTGTACAAATAATGTCCCTATAATTTTAAGAATGTGACTGGGGGTGTGGCTAGGAGCATGACTGTTCTGAAAAATGTTAGGTGACTTACTAACAAGGTATGCAACTAAAATATAAATCAGAACAAGAACAATGTATCTTATTTACACAGACTGATTTCTAAACACAAATATGTAGTTTAAAGACATATTACTGCAAAGCAGTGGTATAAATTGAGACACATTAAGAATATTTACAAAAGAGGGACAATAGGATATAAAAGAGAGACAGCGTGATTTAGGTCCAAAATAGGGACTGTCCCGCCTAAAGAGAGACACTTGGAATGTAAGGAAAACAAAGCCACATATATAAAAAATGCAGAGTAAAAGCCATTTTTATTTGAGAATTAAAATGTGATAAGTACATGAAGATAACAATATTTTTAAAATATGGCTTAAAATAAAAGATTTTGCATATACATGAGGACCAGTGAGGTGTTACAACTCTCCTGTTAAAAATTGGAAAATGACAGAAATATTTCTATTCATTCCTTGGCAAAAACAAGTGACAGCTGGGCTTAAACATAAGTAACATTTTGTTTTTATCATCTATTCTCATACTGAAGAATGTCAGGGTTTGTATGTAGGCGCAGTTTAGAGAATCTTCACACATTTTTAAAGAGGAAATTTACACTATTCAGACTATATTAAAAGAGCCTTTTAATACAGGTGTTGACAGTGCTTGAAATGAAGACAGTTGTAAGTAAAATGTGAAATCTACAAGCTATAAGATGGAAGTAATGCAGCAGTGTTATTGCCTCTTCCTGTCTGCTAAAACCAGGCCAAAGCCTGTTTAATGCTTTGTGTGGTGGAGGAGTATTGGCATAAACTTACATTGTTCTCACAAGTTATGACAGCCTAATTATTTTCTCTAGTTTTGTAGTTGAAATTGTATTTTAGGAACCTATGTCTTCTGTTTTAATTTGTGTTTAGTATTTGTGTTTCTCCACATAATGCATGACGTTGAACATAACGTTAAGTGTAATTCAAAAACAGGTACAAAACAAATCTTTGGAATGTGCCTGTTTATATATGTATTGTCTCAGGGAGTGTGCAACTTAAAATAGACAGCTATCTGACAATATTTTACGTTAATCTATCTATTTTTAGGCTGACCAGTCAGGATATAGCCTATGAAAATACAACTTTAATTTTAAATTATTAAAACTTTTATTTTAAAATTTATATAAGGCAATCAGAATTAGCGTCACTGTGTATATTGTTATTTTATTTCACCAACATTTATTTTTTTAAAGGGATTCTGCAGACATCATTCTAAACAACTTTAGCCTAATGAAGCGTCTCATTGCTCAATTCTGTGCCATATAGGTGTTAAATCACTTTTGTTTCTGTCTATGCAGCCCTAACCACACCTCTCTTGGCTTTGATTCCCACACTTTTTTTATTTTCAATTCAATCTTGACTTGCTTTTGATGTTTTTAAATCCTGCTCTGTAAATTTTACTTTAATCACACAAGAAGCTCGTGCAGGGTCTACAAAGCTATTAACAGAACAGCAGATAAAAATATCTAAATTAAACAGAATTTGCTATGAAGGAAGATTAGGAAGTCCGTAAACTAATTATCATACGTTTGGATTTCTAACGTCAGTTTCCCTTTAAATATACCATCAGTATTCAGTTTACCCCACAAAATTCTGCACGGCAGTGCTATAGGAACAGGGGAGGGCTGGCAGCCTTAGGCCTGGAGGGCAAAACCAGTCAAGTGGCCCATTGCACCACCAAATCAGTTCACCATCCATGCCCACCTTTTCCTGGTTTTATAACGGATATTGATGTTATGCTAATCAGTAGCTCTTTGCCATACCCGCTCCTTCACGGCTCCAGGCACTGCTTGTTGTGAGTGTGAGCCACTGTAAATTAGGGGCAGAGGGCACTTGCACTGCGGTAAAGATGGGGCTGGACAGGAGGAGAGTGCAGTGCAATCAGTGCACTCCCCTCCTGTGGGTCACCAGTAGACTGGTGCACCTGCCCAGGATCAGAGCCGGTGCAAGGATTTTTGCCGCCCTAGACAAAATAAAAATTTGCTGCCCCCCCATGTAACATCACAATGCCCCACCCATATGAACTAGCGCCAGTGCTGCACACAGTGTGTGTTTACATTAAAAAGCCTGCAGGGACCAGCTATAGACACCAGAACCACTTCATTAAGCTATAGTGTCCCTTTAATGTGAGGTACATTATAGATTAGTGTCACTAATAATATACTAGATTGCCTACTTACAAGCAGATGAGGATGATGATGGGCTGCAGTTTGGCTCCACTGGTCTGGTGTAGAACAGGATCTCTGGAGGCTGTTTGCAACTGTGGTCACAAAATTCAATGTTCTGGGAGAATTGGAAGCAGCTCCATTTTTTGGGGCCCCTTACACAGCTCAAGGTCTGGGCCCCAGGGCCTGATGGTGAGTATGCCCATAAGGCCCACTCATAAGTTCCACCCACCCATGAGTTCGCTCACAGGGAGTGGAGTGTGTAGGGGATGTGTTATGTGTTATTGTAGAGGATCTAATATGTGTGCTTATGGTATGTAGTGTATAGGGTTACCAGTTTGTGCAGGTGATGTAGTGTGTTTGTGTGTAGTGGAAGCAGTGTGTATTTGTGTATAAGGGATGTATTATGTGTTTCTGGTTGTGTGTAAGGGATGCATTGTGTGAATCTGTGTTTGTATGCATAAGGGATGCAAAGTGTGTGTCTGTATGTGTGTGCATTGAGTGTAAGAGATGCATTGTGTTTCTGTGTGTATGTAAGAAAAGAAGTGTGTGTGTTTGCATGTGTGTGTACGGGTTTGCATTGTCTGTTTCTGTGTATGTGTGCAAAGGATGCATTGTCTTTGTGTGTAAGGGTTGCATGTGTGTGTGTGTGTAATGGATGCATTGTGTGTTTCTCTGTGTGTAAGGGAAGCATGTTGTGTTTCTGTGTATGTATAGGGATGCATTGTGTGTGTGTGCACGCGCGTAGTGTGAAAGAGCTCCCTGTCTTGGCCCCTGTCCTATAGAGCTGCCCCTTCTGTCCCGTAGAGCTCTCCCCTGCACCTTAGTGGTCTCTCCTCTCCCCCACCCTCCCCTAGCGGTCTCTTCTCACACTCACCCACCCTCCCTGTGCTCTTCTCATCCCCCCCTCCACCCTCCCTGTGTTCTTCTCACTCCTCCCTCTATGTGTTCTCCTCACACCCCCTGTGTTCGTCTTACCCCCCTCCTCCCTGTGTTCTTCATACTTCCCCCCTTGGTCGTCTTACTCCCCCACCTGTTCTTCTTACTCCCCCACCTGTTCTTCTTACTCCCCTTCTTCTTCTTACCCCCTTCTTCTTCTTCCTCTTACTCCCCCTTCTTCTTCTTACTTCTTCTTCTTCCTCTTACTCCCCCTTCTTCTTCTTACTCCCCCTCTTCTTCTTACTCCCCCTTCTTCTTACCCCCTCTTCTTCTTCTTACCCCCACTCTTCTTCTTCTTCTTACTCCCCACTCTTTTTCTTACTCACCCCTTCTTCTTCTTCTTACCCCCCTCTTTCTTATCTCCCCTCCTTCTTACTCCGCCCTCCCCTCCTTCTTACTCCACCCTCCCCCTTTTCTTATTCCACCTCTCCCTCTTCTTACTCCCCCCTCTTTTTCTTACTCCCTCCTCTTCTTCTTCTTACTCCCCCATCTTTTTCTTACTCACCCCTTCTTCTTCTTACCCCCTCTTTTTCTTATCTCCCCTCTTCTTATTCCCCTCCCTCCCCTCTTCTTATTCCCCCTATCCCCTCTTTTTATTCCCCTCCTCCCCTCTTCTTATTCCCCTCCCTCCCCTCTTCTTATTCCCCCCTCCCCTCTTCTTATCCCCCTCCCCTCTTTTTATTCCCCCCCTTCTCTTTTTATTCCCCCCTCCCCTCTATTCTCCCCCCTCTTCTTATCCCCCCTCCCCTCTTCTTATCCCCCCTCCCCTCTTTTTATTCCCCCCCCTCTTCTCTTTTTATTCCCCCCTCCCCTCTATTCTCTCCCCTCCTCCCTCTTTTTATCCCCCCTCCCTCTTTTTATTCCCCTTCTCTTTTATTTTACCCCCCCTCCTCTATTCTCCCCCCCTCCTCCTCTTTTATCCCCCCTCTTCCCATTCCCCCCTCTTATCCCCCCCTCCTCATCTTATCCCCCCTCCTGCTTTGTTTCACCTCTTCTTTTATTCCCTCCTCCTGACCTCCCCTCCTCCTCATTCTCTCCCCTCCTCTCTTCTTATCCCCCCTCCCTTCTTTTATTCCCCCCCTCCCCTCTATTCCCCTCCTCTTCTTACCCCTCCCCTGTAGCAGCATGGCGAGCGGCACTCCACGGTCGCGGTGGCCGGCAGCGGTGATAGGAGGTGCACTGAGTGGTGTGCCGCCACGGGCCCACAGGAAACTCACATTCCGCGCGGAACAGGAGTTTCGATCCAGACTGGCTGAACTCAGTATCCTCGACACCCTTTCAATTATTCAGGCAGCCGCCTGAGGCTCTTAACAGAGCGCTCGGGCGGCTGCAGTATTTAAAGGGCCGGCCCGTCGCGGCCGGCCTTACAGGAATTTAGGGCGGCCGGGGGGGCAATTGCCTCCCTGCCCCCCGGCCCAGCCCGCCCCTGTATAGGAAGGATTCTGGAAGTTGTAGTTCATTTGTCATCTTTATACATTAGAAAGCTAAGGGCTGAACCAGAACTCCCAGAAACCTAAGCAAGAAATTAAATTTGTATTACTGGAGTTTCTTCCTATCCTTTTAAATGCACACCTTCCTATTGATGTGTATAAAGAAGAAAATGGACTTACCTTATATCCCATGCCATACTGTAACACATGCAGTTTTTCTTTTTAACTCTCTCTCCACCTACATCCAATGATCTCACACACCTATTTAGATTTTCTTTTGTATCATGGTTACTAGACCCCTGTCAGCCAGCAGAAAGTGCAAAAGTTAACAGACTCTCAGAATTGTGCCCACCTGAAATGTACGTATTCAAAAATAAATCAGAATTCCAGAAGCATTTTTTTCAGCAATAAAATTGCCATTTGGTTCCACCTTTTTCAAGAGGCACTTGAACTTTTCTTGTAGTTAATCAATAGTGTGATTACATTTGGCAGTACAGCAATAAAAATGTTCTTGCACCTCACTAGGCGTTGTCATGCTAGAGTGCTTATTCTGTTAACTTATTTTTTATAACTCCCATATTGTGATTGCACACTGAGTTTTTGCAACAAATGTAATATTTATTTCAATAAATACTTTGTTTTTTTTAGTATGTTCTCCTTATTGGTATGAATGTTATAACCTCGTTGTGTGACGTCTTCCTCCCTCCCTCGCATCCACTGGCCAGTAAAGGGTTAAACCCCCTTTATTTACTTACCTGATACCCAGCTTTCAGCTCTCTATCACTAGTAGTGGAGCAGTGAGTATTGTTCAACGGCCCCCAGGTAAGAAGTCAAGCCATTTTTAAATGGTCCGACTAGTTACGATGGGGGGCAGGATACTTCATGTACCATAACCACTACAAGGAGCTGAATATAGCAGTGAGGTAGAATTGAATATATATGCGACTGATGTTGACAGTTCCTTTGCTGACTTTGTATATTTAAACAAACTACATTATCCACATAGGTTTTAAGCTGTCTCCATTTTTGCTGCTAATTATAAATAATTTGGAGGTATGGCAATATGTGCTTTAAGTTATATATTGTGTATTAATATTGGTTTTGTATTTTATTGTACCCTAATGTAACAATGCAATGGTTTGTGCACCCAGGACATATTTGAAAACGAGAGAAATCTCAATGTATCTTCCCTGGTAAAATATTTTATAGATAAATAAAGTAACCACTTTTTTTAAACTTCATGGGAAATATAGAATTGTCCTAATATTCTTTGCAATAAGTGATTTTACCTTTTGTGGTATGGTTAACACTTCACAAAGGAATCTAGATAAAAATGACAACAAATACTTCACATGCCCTCCTACATTGTATATGCAGAAATACTGTAATACTATGGTGGACCATGGGCATTGCCATCTGCGCTCCGTGTCATGTATACATCCTAGTAATGTGTTTTTAAAGGCCTGTTCTCAGTATATGTTCATGTCAGATAAAGGTTTACATTTACAATGGCCCTACTGCCAGTCATGCACTGTGTCCCAGTGTATTTGTTAAATGCGTGTTTCCCACATATAAATTAATGTCAAATAAATATTGACTTTTTAAGCCTGCCGTTATTGTCACTCGTGAACTAGCACAGTGCCTCACAGCTCTAAACATAATATTCCAGCTATATTTTCCGCTTTACATTATAAAACACATTTAGCTGCCTGTGATTAAAAAAAAAAAAAAAGCCTGGTGGAATGACTAGGAGCCTCATTTGTAGGCAGAGTACGTTGCTCCATGCTCTGCTGTGTACGTGCAGAGAGTAGAAAGGGTTGAGTGGGCAGTTGGCAGTCATTCATTGTCATTGATTGCCAGTCATTCATAAAAAACTGCAGAGCCGGGAGAGGTGGAGTCACAATAAAAAGCCTTTGAGACACTTGCCGGAGACGCTGTTTTGAATAATCTAATGCAATTACAGCGAAGACTGTTATGCTGCATGTTGGATATAATGAAGAGATGTATGATAATAACACGGATTGCCATTAATCATGGCAATTTTAAAACGATATTCAATGCCTAGTGATGGAGTATTTAACTGAAATGGTTAAAAAATGAAAGAATGGTAAATCAGTAAAATCTGTGTTTGCACGAGTTGCGGATTAATTTCCACACGCTTCTCCACGGCCTGTGTATTATTAGATGTAGATGCAGCTGTGCACTAAAAAGAAACTGTTATGGGTGAAATGCTAAATACAGTTTTTATTCTGATATTTAAAAACAAAAAGAAAAGTACCCCATTTTTGTTGCTTGTTGATTGTGAAAGGCAGACAGAAACAACTAGAATTTCCACCAATTTTCGGCAGCTACCAGTCTTTTCATAAGGCACATGCCACTACTTATCCTCATGTATTTAATTATACATGGTCAATCAAGCAGACGGTGCTTCAAAGAGCATGAGATAGAAACAGGCGTATGCAATTATTTCATGAAATATAATTGCTTTGCAGAAATGTTTGGCAAAATGGAGGAACATTTCGTATCTGGATAGTGCCGCTCCTGAAAACTAGCAATCTTTCACAAACTGTATGGAAGTTTTGGATTTTTGTTTTTTCATGTAAAAAACTTTTAGACTTTCTCAATGGAAAACCTATTTGGACACGACTTAATGTAAAGAATTATTGTGGAGTGTATTCATTGAACATTGGAATTGATGCCAAAATGTAACTGGCTAATGTTTGTAGATATACAGTGAGGGAAAAAAGTATTTGATCCCCTGCTGATTTTGAACATTTGCCCACTGACAAAGAAATGATCGGTCTATAATTTTAATGGTAGGTGTATTTTAACAGTGAGAGACAGAATAACAAAAAAAAATCCAGAAACAATTATCAATTGATTTGCATGACAATGAGTGAAATAAGTATTTGACCCCTTTAACTTAATACTTGGTGGCAAAACCCTTGTTGGCAATAACAGAGGTCAGACGCAGGGCTGCCATCAGAAATTGTGGGGCCACTAACACAGCTCAAGGTCTGGGCCCCCATGTGCATGCCTCCAAGCCCCGCCTCCAAATCCCACCCACAGGAATACACACACACAGACACAGAAAGATACACAGACACAGAAAGGACACAGACGCACACACACATACACAGAAAGATACACACATACTAACAGACACAAATACTGAAACAGACATACATACATACAGGCATACTGACACACACATACAGATAGATAAATAGACAGATATATACATACACAGATACATACTGATATATACATACATACATACTGACATACACACACACGCACACATACATATAGACACATACATACAGACATACATACTGACATACACATACATACTGATAGATATATACATACATACATACATACACACATACAGATATATATATATATATACATACACAGATACATACTGATATATACATACATACTGACATACACACATACATACAGATAGACACATACATACAGACATACATACTGACATACACACACACATACATACTGATAGATAGATATATACATACATACACACATACAGATAGATAGATATATACATACACAGATACATACTGATATATACATACATACAAACTGACATACACACATACACACACACACATACATACTGATAGATATATACATACATACACACATACTGATAGACAGATATATACATACATACTGACATACACACACAGACTTACATACATACTGACAAACAGACATACATACACATCTCATTTATCAGCCACCCTCCTCTTCCTTACCTTTTCGTTAGGTGGCTGGGGATGATGGGAGCGGATGCCTCTCCTCTCCTCGGCTGTCTCTCCCCCCGCGCGGAGTAAGCAGCACTTGCGGTACAGCAGCAGCACTTGCGGTACAGCCGCAATTATTTTTAAAGGGGACTGGTCGCGGTATTACATGGCTGCAGCGCTGACCAGGCCCCTGAAGATATAGGGCCGGGCCCACCAGGGCCGCCGGGCCCGTGACAACTGACATGAAATTCCAAAACTGACTGATTGTTGCCTAATATATTCTACCCCTGATGGCGGCCCTGGTCAGACGTTTCTTGTAGTTGGCCTAATATATTTTACCCCTGATGGAGGCCATGGTCAGACGTTTCTTGTAGTTGGCCACCAGGTTTGCACACATCTCAGGAGGGATTTTGTCACACTCCTCTTTGCAGAGCCTCTTCAAGTCCTTAAGGTTTCGAGTCTGACATTTGGGATTTTCTATGGGATTAAGGTCTGGAGACTGGCCAGGCCACTTCTAGCACCAGACCGAGGGAGACTGAAAGTTATTTTGTGTTTCTTCCATTTATGAAAAATCACACCAACTGTTGTCACCTTCTTACCAAGCTGCTTGACGATGGTCTTGTAGCCCATTCCAGCCTTGTGTAGGTCTACAATCTTGTCCTTGACATCCTTGTACAGTGCTTTGGTCTTGGCCATTCTGTCTCTCACTGGTAAAATACACCTACCATTAAAATTATAGACTGATCATTTCGTTGTCAGTGGACAAACGTTAAAAATCAGCATGGGATCAAATACTTTCCCCCCTCACTGTAGCACATTGAGATCACTCCACACTGAAGTTTGTGATAAACAAAAATGTTAAAAAAAAGTTTTGGTAGATATTTTTCATGCATGTATTATTTGGGGTTTAACTGTAGTTTTTTAAGCCGTCCCCTTTTACCCCAGAAGAGACTAACATCGAGAAGCCTTAGAATCTGTGGGCGCGGTCGCGTCAGCTCATGTGCTAGTGGAACCAGCATGTGCACAAGCAGCTGATCTGAAGTCTGTGGACGCAGGTCTGAGGGGGAGGAGACTAGTAGAGAGTACCTGCCACCTCCTTCTCAGGGCAACTAACGGAAGTAGAAAGCAAACCTCTCTGGTTGTCTAATTGAGGTGTTCTATAATTTAATTATAAAAGTTTAGATATGTCACGATGCTAGTGATGGGTCATCCCATATTGGAATGGGACTGGACAACAATAGCTGCCCAATTGCCATATTTATCCGAGTTACTATTTAGGTTTTAAAACCTCCCCTATACTTGTTTTTCATATTTTAATGTGGTTGCACTGCCAAGGTCTTTTTTTTTTTTTAACTACTTGTTCGCGTGCATCAATGAGCCAGGTTCATCGATGTCCTTCCTTTTCACTTTTACATTTTTCTTACCTTCCAGAACTGACTGATTGTTGCCTAATAAATTCTACCCCTGATGGCGGCCCTGGTCAGACGTTTCTTGTAGTTGGCCTAATATATTTTACCCCTGATGGAGGCCATGGTCAGACGTTTCTTGTAGTTGGCCACCAGGTTTGCACACATCTCAGGAGGGATTTTGTCACACTCCTCTTTGCAGAGCCTCTTCAAGTCCTTAAGGTTTCGAGTCTGACATTTGGGATTTTCTATGGGATTAAGGTCTGGAGACTGGCCAGGCCACTTCTAGCACCAGACCGAGGGAGACTGAAAGTTATTTTGTGTTTCTTCCATTTATGAAAAATCACACCAACTGTTGTCACCTTCTTACCAAGCTGCTTGACGATGGTCTTGTAGCCCATTCCAGCCTTGTGTAGGTCTACAATCTTGTCCTTGACATCCTTATACAGTGCTTTGGTCTTGGCCATTCTGTCTCTCACTGGTAAAATACACCTACCATTAAAATTATAGACTGATCATTTCGTTGTCAGTGGACAAACGTTAAAAATCAGCATGGGATCAAATACTTTCCCCCCTCACTGTAGCACATTGAGATCACTCCACACTGAAGTTTGTGATAAACAAAAATGTTAAAAAAAGGTTTTGGTAGATATTTTTCATGCATGTATTATTTGGGGTTTAACTGTAGTTTTTTAAGCCGTCCCCTTTTACCCCAGAAGAGACTAACATCGAGAAGCCTTAGAATCTGTGGGCGCGGTCGCGCCAGCTCATGTGCTAGTGGAACCAGCATGTGCACAAGCAGCTGATCTGAAGTCTGTGGACGCAGGTCTGAGGGGGAGGAGACTAGTAGAGAGTACCTGCCACCTCCTTCTCAGGGCAACTAACGGAAGTAGAAAGCAAACCTCTCTGGTTGTCTAATTGAGGTGTTCTATAATTTAATTATAAAAGTTTAGATATGTCACGATGCTAGTGATGGGTCATCCCATATTGGAATGGGACTGGACAACAATAGCTGCCCAATTGCCATATTTATCCGAGTTACTATTTAGGTTTTAAAACCTCCCCTATACTTGTTTTTCATATTTTAATGTGGTTGCACTGCCAAGGTCTTTTTTTTTTTTTTAACTACTTGTTCGCATGCATCAATGAGCCAGGTTCATCGTTGTCCTTCCTTTTCACTTTTACATTTTTCTTACCTTCCAGAACTGACTGATTGTTGCCTAATAAATTCTACCCCTCGACAGGTGCCATTGTAACAATATAATGAATGTTATTCACTTCACCTGTTAGTTGTTTTAATGTTGTGGTTGATCAGTGTAGGTTTCACAAATTTATCATTATGACAAGTAAAGCAGAGGTCAGAGCTCAGCCTACTCACCCTGCTGGCCAGAAAGCCAGGCACCTACCAGCTAACTGGTAACGTTCCAATGTCCTGTCCCATTACCTATTACATTTTATTAGTTTGTCAAACTGACAAAATATGGCTTTAAAGCAGCTCTGTCACCTACTAAGATCCCCAGTTTAAGGATTATTCTGTCCATCCCACCCCTCACATAATCTTTATTGACCCCGTGAGAGGTGCAACATAACTTTTTTAACATTGTGCCTGTCCCGCCTGGCCTTTCATGTAGCTGCCATCTTGAAGTCTCCAAGATCCGATCCAACACTCCCATATTCTGCACTTCTTAGGAGGCATGCACATGAAATCACATGAATTGTGAAATCTATCATGATCAACGCAGAGGTAGGAAAGTTATACATAAGGTAAAGAAGTCCTTACTTTTTCTCATGTATAACTTTAACAATAAGCATAATTAAAAAAAAAAAAGGGGGGGGGCACATGGGTTAGGGGTGGGGTAGAGAGGTAGGGGGATGGGGGGGGGGAGATATTGGACATGCGAATGCGTAAAATAAAAAAAGTGACCAAACGCCTTTAATGAAGATCTTGGAGATCCCCTTTAAAGCCCTGTATATCTAGACCCAGTCATAATATACAGAGAGCAGTCTTTGCAATTGAAATAGCTTGCACCTGGGGTGCAAGTTTGTATCTATACCTCCCAACTATCCTTCTTTAGGAGAAACAGTTCCTATATTGAGCCCAAATCCCTCTTCACGTCTATTCTATTCTAATGTGCCTCTTTTGTAGGATGTTTCTTTTTTTCATAGTGTATAACAAAGTTCCACAGCATTAATACTCACAATAATGTGTCTTTAAAATGCAATGTGTTTAAAAATCAGTCAGTGTACATAAGATAGAGTGTTCTTGTTTTAAATTTCATTTTAGTTACATTAATTGTAATTAGTAAGTCCCCTAAAATTGCTCAGAATAACCTAAAAAATCCTAAAATTAAAGGGACTCCCTAGTCTCCAGAACAACTACAGCTTAATGTAGTTGTACTGGTGTCAGTAGTAGGTCAGTGCAGGCATTTTCATGTATACACTGCCTCTTCAGAGAAAAAGCAATGTTTACATTACAGCCTAGGGGCACCTCCAGTGGTAGTCACTTACATTCCCCATAGAGATGCATTTCCATATGGAGATGCTGATTGGCCAACGCGGCATTGTGCTGCAGGTGCACATTAGCCTCCCAATGCTACCCTAAGGGAAAGCATTGGATTGGCTGAGATTGTCAATTCTGATGATTTCAGCAAAGGAGGCGGACCCTCATTGCTAACCCTATCTCTAACCCTATTTAAGAGGTTAAAGGGGCACCGGGCACCTAATATGTGTTTTTAACACTGTTTAATACACGTTTGTATTCCTGACCCTATGGTGTTCCTTTGATTGTCCCTCTTTGTCCATTTGAAATATTGGGAGGTATGTAAATCTACTGGTTTATGATTGGGTGGTTTTCTTTATCGTGCATAGAGTGTCCCTTTAAAAATGTAAACAACCACTTAATTTCTACACAGTAGAGGGTCATTAGCATGTGAAAATGTAAGCAAATCATGTAGTCAGGGATGAAGGATGATTGTCATGACATACTATTTAATAATCTACTCTGATTTGTATTGAATTATGATACAAGTAATTATTATTAGGCACTATTAGTTCACATTATGTTTTCTAATTGAATAATAGATTGCTTATAATATAATCTGTGTAGGTGTGTAAATAGTGATTCAGGAATATAATGAATATTAATACAAGCTGTTACAAAGGTATAGAGGAAAACATATGTAATATTGTGTCGTTAACATGAGAAATGTAAAAACTCATAGCTAATTTAAATTCACTCCTGTTTTTCATTGTCTTATTATTTATTGTTTTAAACACCAATATATGTAAGCTACTGTGAACAGAGAATTACCAAAATACTTTAGTAAATTGATTAACCATAATTACCTTTATAGGATTTGTAGTGTCTGCTACCAGTGGAGTTGCCAGCTGTCCCATGTCCAGTGTACCCAAGTTATTATGTCAGAGGTTCTTCCTCTGCTGTCACCTGTGCTGGGGATGAAGGACATGAGAATCAATGTATTATTGTTGAATTCCAATATATACAGCAGAGTTTTAATAGTCCCGTTTCTTGAAGTGGCAGGCCTTGGAGGGGAGAGGGGTCCACCCTGAGCAGCCTGTATTGCTCTCCCTCCTCCCATTTATAATATTTTAGGTGGTCCTAAAGCCCTTATTGATTTGCATGCAATCAGCGGTGTGTGATTGGACAGACTTGCTAGAAATAAAAGATAATCTGTGTGTGAAGTTGGCGCTTAAAAAGACTTGCTAGTAATGTCTGTCAATGAACTATATTGGTCTCTGCACTCCTGTTCACATAGAGCCGCTTCCTTGTGGTGTATATTTTAAAGATGATGACTAGGGAGTGAGAAGAGTATTGATGTTTTAGGCCCGCCCACTTTTTTAAAACATAGCTGCCAACATTCCTTGCCCACATTCATAGAAGAGTGCAGGTGTTAAGGGGGTGGGTCTGCCTTAAGGTTAAAGGACCCACCCTTCAAGTGCATGGGCCTGTATTCCTGACACTATAGTGATCCTTTAATAGCAGGCAGAAGCTCCTGGTATGCCGTCTGGGACAGAGAAAGAGGTGGATATAGTAAGTGTACAGGGGAGGGCTGGCAGCCTTAGGCCTGGGGGGCAAAACCAGTCAAGTGGCCCATTGCACCACCAAATCAGTTCACCATCCATGCCCACCTTTTCCTGGTTTTATAACGGATATTGATGTTATGCTAATCAGTAGCTCTTTGCCATACCCGCTCCTTCACGGCTCCAGGCACTGCTTGTTGTGAGTGTGAGCCACTGTAAATTAGGGGCAGAGGGCACTTGCACTGCGGTAAAGATGGGGCTGGACAGGAGGAGAGTGCAGTGCAATCAGTGCACTCCCCTCCTGTGGGTCACCAGTAGACTGGTGCACCTGCCCAGGATCAGTGCCGGTGCAAGGAGTTTTGCCGCCCTAGACAAAATAAAAATTTGCTGCCCCCCCATGTGACATCACAATGCCCCACCCATATGAACTAACGCCAGTGCTGCACACAGTGTGTGTTTACATTAAAAAGCCTGCAGGGACCAGCTATAGACACCAGAACCACTTCATTAAGCTATAGTGTCCCTTTAATGTGAGGTACATTATAGATTAGTGTCACTAACTAATATACTAGATTGCCTACTTACAAGCAGATGAGGATGATGATGGGCTGCAGTTTGGCTCCACTGGTCTGGTGTAGAACAGGATCTCTGGAGGCTGTTTGCAGCTGTGGTCACAAAATTCAATGTTCTGGGAGAATTGGAAGCAGCTCCATTTTTTGGGGCCCCTTACACAGCTCAAGGTCTGGGCCCCAGGGCCTGACGGTGAGTATGCCCATAAGGCCCACTCATAAGTTCCACCCACCCATGAGTTCGCTCACAGGGAGTGGAGTGTGTAGGGGATGTGTTATGTGTTATTGTAGAGGATCTAATATGTGTGCTTATGGTATGTAGTGTATAGGGTTACCAGTTTGTGCAGGTGATGTAGTGTGTTTGTGTGTAGTGGAAGCAGTGTGTATTTGTGTATAAGGGATGTATTATGTGTTTCTGGTTGTGTGTAAGGGATGCATTGTGTGAATCTGTGTTTGTATGCATAAGGGATGCAAGGTGTGTGTCTGTATGTGTGTGCATTGAGTGTAAGAGATGCATTGTGTTTCTGTGTGTATGTAAGAAAAGAAGTGTGTGTGTTTGCATGTGTGTGTATGGGTTTGCATTGTCTGTTTCTGTGTATGTGTGCAAAGGATGCATTGTCTTTGTGTGTAAGGGTTGCATTGTGTGTGTGTGTGTGTGTGTGTGTAATGGATGCATTGTGTGTTTCTCTGTGTGTAAGGGAAGCATGTTGTGTTTGTGTGTATGTATAGGGATGCATTGTGTGTGTGTGCGCGCGCGTAGTGTGAAAGAGCTCCCTGTCTTGGCCCCCTGTCCTATAGAGCTGCCCCTTCTGTCCCGTAGAGCTCTCCCCTGCACCTTAGTGGTCTCTCCTCTCCCCCACCCTCCCCTAGCGGTCTCTTCTCACACTCACCCACCCTCCCTGTGCTCTTCTCACTCCTCCCTCTATGTGTTCTCCTCACACCCCCTGTGTTCGTCTTACCCCCCTCCTCCCTGTGTTCTTCATACTTCCCCCCTTGGTCGTCTTACTCCCCCACCTGTTCTTCTTAACCCCCCTTCTTCTTATTGCTCCCCCTTCTTCTTCTTACCCCCCTTCTTCTTCTTCCTCTTCCTCCCTTCTTCTTTCTTACTCCCCCCATTTCTTCATACTCACCCTTCTTTCTTACCCCCCTTCTTCTTCTTACTCCCCACTCTTCTTCTTACCTCCCCTTTTTTCTTATCACCCTTCTTCTTCTTCTTACCCTCTTTTTCTTATTCCCTCCTCTACTCCGCCTCTCCCCTTTTCTTATTCCCCTCTCCTCTTACTCCCTCCTCTTTTCTTACTCCCTCCTTTTTCTTACTTCCCCCTCTTTTTTCTTCTTGCTCCCCCCTCTTCTTCTTCTTACTCCCCTCTTCTTCTTCTTACTCCCCTCTTTCTTACTCCCCCATCTTCTTACTCCCATCTTTCTTACTCCCCCTTCTTCTTCTTACCCCCTCTTTTTCTTATCTCCCCTCCTTCTTACTCCCCTTTCTTCTTCTTACCCCCTCTTCTTCTTTTTACACCCCCTTCTTCTTTTTACACCCCCTTCTTCTTCTTACTCCCCCCTCTTCTTACTCCCCCCTCTTCTTCTTATTACCCCCTCTTCTTCTTACTCCCTTTCTATTCCCCTTTTATCCTCTCTTTTCCTCCCTCTTCTTATTCTCTCCTCTTATCCCTCTCCTCTTCTTTTTGTATTCCTCCCTCTTCTTATTATCCCCTCTTTCTCCTCCCTGTTTCTACTCTCTCCCTTTTTTTCCCTCCTCTTTCTACCCTCCCTCCTCTCTATCAGGTGGCCGGCACTCCGTCTCGTGGCCGCCGGCCGAGGATAGGAAGGTGCACACTGGTGCACTTCCTGTCAGTTCGTCGGTTACAGGAAACAGAAACTCGCGGAACAGGAGTTTTCAGCTTATCAACGTCGATTGACAGGAAGTACTTCAGTGTGCCCTCTATTACTCCGCCGTGAAGTGGCAACCGCGACGGGAGGCAGCTCGCAACTTGCCAGGGCTCGGTTTAACAGAGCGCTCAGGCGGCTGCAGTATTTAAAGGGCCGGCCCGCCGCGGCCGGCCTTACAGGAATTTAGGGCGGCCTGGGGGGCAATTGCCTCCCTGCCCCCCGGCCCAGCCCGCCCCTGTAAGTGTAGCAGAAAGGGGACATGCCACAGTGTTAGAGAGACCGAAGCAGCAAGAGCATTTTCACAGTGTTATGTTAACTTTTATAGTAAGTCAGTCCATACAAGTTTTGTTCACTTGCAACCCTCCTAAGTTAATACCCTCTGTACAAAGCAAGATCATGTGAAGATTAGTAAAAAAAAAAACAATCGTATTGTAACCGTGTAAGCATGCAGAAGCCGAACACAGAGAGATGGACACAGGTATTCAGGAAGTAAGAGGCCTTTATTTACGTACCGATCGGGTCTCAGATGGACTAACGTTCCACAACAGATCTGAGCCCTGAGCACATAGAGTACATTCCTTATATAGCACTGCAGCTCCTCCCATAATTAGCTACGCCCACACATACCCTTAACCAATCAATGAACAGAGTCTAAACTCGTCCATCCGGTCTAACCATGTGGCACATCTGAAACAAAGGAGAAGGACGTGTAATTCCAGTTTCTGCATTCCTGCACATGCCCAGTACATTGATGACAGTATCTTAGCTACGTGTAACTAACTAACTGATACTACAAACACATGTACCTACATATGCCCTGTGGCAATCTTAGCCTACTAAGCTTTTATTTTACTGGAATTCCATCAATTTCCCCCCTTTGATGCTTCTGATTTAAAATAATTCCAGATGCATCACTAATCATAGTTTGCCAACACCTCTCAAGTAGCCATGAACCAGAACAGACCTTGTAAGCATCCTTGGCATATTCTTTTAGCATTCCCCATCCTGAATATGCTCTCTCTGGGCTAAAGGTTCATATTTACAGACAGCCATTATATGGGCAGCTGTCTTCCTCTCAATAGTGCTGTCTATAACACTTCGTATGGACCTGACCACTAATGGAATTAAGCAGGGCAGAAAGAGACACGAATATAATAAATACTACTCCTCCTACTAATGCCTTAATCCCTCCAAGCTGCTCATACCAACTTCCAAACCAACTACTTGGGTTATACCCACTCCAGACCTGAGTAGGTACATGTGCAAGTTTAACCATGTGACTGGTAAGTTCAGCCACTGCCTGCCCTTCATCATCTATGTGCAGACAACAGTTACTTAGATTAAACTTCCCACATACACCTCCCTCTACTGCTAATAAGTAGTCCAAAGCTAATCTATTTTGATAGATGGCTGATCTCATTCGGGTATTATGTTTAGCTAGGAGATTGAGCGCTTGTGCTGTCTCATTGATGATAATCTCAACCACCGCCTGTAGTCTTATAATACGATTAAGCATATATATTGGAGTTCTATATCCATAAGTACCATCTTCTGCCCATGTAGCCGGTCCATAATAATTAATAATACGTTGGGGAGGCCACTCATCATCTTCCCAGCTACCTATATTCAAAGATGCTCGCTTCTTTTTATGATTCACATCATAAACCTTAACTCCCAAGGTCTCTCCTGTTTCAATTGGCAACAAGAAGAAGGATGGTTTCGGTATTCGGAGTTACCAGTCTTGTGGTAACTCCGAATATGCCTTCTTACCAGTCTTGTGGTAACTCCGAATATGCCTTCTTACCACAAATCCAGTACAGATTTGCTGGGGCTCTCCAATTGGATGTAGCAGATAAATCAAACCATATCTCTTTCAAATTAGTGTAATTGGCAAATGGTTTAGTACGTTCTGAGACATTTGAAGCTGACCACCAAGTAATATATTTTGTATTATCATTAGCCTTTAGTCCCAAACATGTTAACCCACCTACAGATGTATTATACATTATCCCTTTCCTAGCTATACAAACATGACCTATAATGGAGGTTTTTAACCGCCATTCTGATTTACCTCTAGTACTCACTTGGTGATCAGACTGAGAAAGTATCTGTTGTTCATCTGTCTCAGAACCAGGGTACCATGCCTCCTTTGCTTCCCATGGCCACTGGTCTCCCATGTAAGTACCTCCACATACAAAACAGTTAGTTACATTAAGACTACCTGCAATAATGTCAGCTAAATCTACAAATAGGTTCTTAACATTATGGGGAATTTTATCCTCAATACTCATCTCCTCATAGAATGAATGAAAAACCTGATGAGTTTGGGTTGCTACTGTCTCAGTTTCAATGCCTACATATATAATAGCCCCAGGATCCAACCCTGTTCCGTATATTTGGAACCCAAATAGATTTCCAAACTTGTCCATGAAGTGTTGCGGATTAGAAATGGTCATATGAACCGGATTACACTCCATAGACTTACAATATGGTGTGGTAGGCAACCTTTGGATAATCATATCTTGGTCTACTGTTTTACCCCAGGTTGCCCACCCCACACAAGACCAATATGGACAGAAATTAAAATCTCTATTTGGGCAATCAGGATCAGTAGATCTTTTACTGGGACATAAATATTTGTCATTGAACCCATAAGTTCGTTCCCACTTTAAATTACCACATACATTCCAAGGTTTTCCACTACCCGAGATCGCCTTACATGCATCAAATAGTAGAATACCCGTAGAATGTATGGTACTTATCACCGTCCTATTTATCAAGGTCCCCTGAGAGTTGCTATTCTGAATTACCAACCAAATTGTACAGGGTTGGAATTGGGGATCAAAACATTTGGGCTCTCCTTCTTCAATATATCCAAATATCTACATTAAGATACAGACCCCTTACATTCATACTGTGAGTGCCAAATAAGAGTTTGAGATATTTGATTACCTGTCTTAGTAGTCTTAATGCAACTATCACAATTCTGTATGTCTGTACTCTTACCTCCCTGAAAATTTATAACAACACATACACAATAAAATGTATTATTCCTGGTATCCTCATTCTTGTTTCTTCGACCATGTGACGGCACTTCAGCTTCCCGACTGTGAGGGCTGCAAGGATTGACGTTCTTCTGATCCTCACTTTCCTTCATAGAGATCTCTTTGAGACACTCTGACTTATGACACGTAGGCAGATGGTCAGGCTTTATTATGGCCGTCAAAACACCTACTTGCTGATCTCAAAATAATACTTCCAACCACGATGTCCCAATACTTCGCACTCACTCCGACTGAATCACCCGCTTTAACCGGATCTTACAAGGATTTTCAGAATCTGGAATGGCTTTCCAAGAGTCTGCTGCTGGTTTAACCCTAGAGTGATGAATCCACGGAGTCACTTCTGCCACCTTTACAGCTGTTGGAGTGGACAAAAGAACAACATAAGGACCTCTCCATTTCGGACCTAATAGAACACTATTCCATTCTTTTATCCACACTTGATCTCCTGGATGGTAAGAAAAACAGGTGGATATATGTTCACAGGTAACCTATCTTGTACCCAATTCTGTACTTCTACCCAACTCTACAACCTGCTGCCAAGTAATTCCTTCACCCAACTGACTCAAATCCCCCCTTAGATTACTGAGTATAGGAGGTGGACGCCCATACATAATTTCAAAAGGAGACAGACCCATTCTCCTGGTTGGAGTACTACGTATGCGCAACAGAGCTATTGGCAAAAGAACATTCCACTTAAGCTGGGTCTCTTGACACATTTTTGCCAACTGGGTTTTTATAGTTCTGTTCATCCTTTCCACCTTCCCAGAACTCTGAGGTCTATATGCTGGATGAAGTTTCCCCTTAATACCAAGCAAATGAGTCAGTTGTTGTAGGCACTGATGAATAAAGGCTGGGCCATTATCTGATCCTATAGAGCACGGGAGTCCATATCTGGGTATGACCTCTCGCAACAGGAATCATAAAAATTCTCCTGCTTTTTCCGTACGGGTTGGACAAGCTTCTACCCAACCTGAGTAGGTACACACAGCTACCAACAGATAACTATATACTCCAGATTTAGGCATTACCGTATAATCTATTTGCAGATCTGACATGGGGAGTCCTCCCATATACTGGACCCCTGGAGGTTTAACAGGGCCTTGTCTTGCGTTGTTATTTGCACACAGAACACATCTTCGAACAAAGGCTTGAGTTAGATTGGATAATCTCGGCATATAGAAATGTTTTCTGAGAGTTTCTTCCATACTATCTCTTCCTAAATGTGTGCCATTGTGGAAGTTCTGAACAATCTCTATAGCCAGAGATGTCGGAATGACTATTCTTCCATCTTCTAACTGATACCAATTGTTCTCCAAATATTTTCCTGCCTCAGTCTTCAACCACTCCATCTCTTGAGTTGTATAAATTGGAGTCCATTGAGACAAAGGGGCTGGCACAAGGACAGCGACGTACCCCACATTCAGCAGCACGCTTAGCCGCACTGTCTGCCATACGATTTCCTCTTACCACATCACTATCGCCTCTCAGATGTGCTCTACAATGTATAATACCGACCTCCTTTGGCTTCCATACTGCTTCCAATAGTTGAAGAATTTCAGCTGCATACTTAATTCCTTTCCCTTCTGAATTCAACAACCCTCATGCTCCATGGGCATGAGTGGTTAAAAATGCATAATTTGAATCAGTATATATGTTCACCTTCAACCCTTCAGCCAATTGCAAGGCCCGTGTCAATGCAATCAATTCTGCCTTCTGTGCTGATGTTCCTTTTGACAGTGGCCGTGCCTCTATCACCTTGTCTATAGTTGTTACCGCATATCCTGCATAGCGAATTCCTTCTTTCACATAGCTACTACCATCCGTATAATACTGTACATCTGGGTTCTGGATGGGAAAGTCATGAAGGTCCGGTCGGCTTGTAAACACCTCATCCATTATCTCCAAACAATCATGTTGATTTTCATTAGGTTGTGGCAAAAGGATAGCTGGATTCAGGGTATTAACAGTCTCAAGGTGTACTCTTGGATTTTCACATAGCATGGCTTGATATTTAGTCATTCGGCTATTACTGAACCAATGATTACCTTTGTAATCCAATAGAGTCTGTACTGCATGAGGTACTCGCACGTAGAGTTCCTGTCCCAGTGTAAGCTTGTCAGCTTCTGCTACCAACAGGGCAGCCACGGCCACTGCTCGCAGACAAGGTGGAAGACCACTAGCCACTGCATCCAACTGTTTGGACATGTACGCGACAGGTCGTTGCCATGATCCCAAATGCTGAGTTAGTACTCCCACAGCCATTCTTTTTTGCTCATGTACATACAGATAGAATGGACGTGTATGATCAGGTAGACCTAGGGCTGGGACACTCATTAGTGCTTTCTTGATATCCTCAAATGCCTTCTGCTGTTCAGTAGTCCATAGGAAGGGGTCATATTCTGTGCCTTTTATAGCTCCATTTAAGGGTTTCGCCAATATCGCGTAATTAGGAATCCATATCCTGCAGAATCCTGCTGCTCCTAAGAATTCTAGCACCTGTCTTCTATTCTTAGGTATCGGTATCTGACATACCACTTCTTTCCTTTCAGGTCCCATTATCCTTTGACCTTCAGAGATATGGAATCCTAAATACTTGACAGTTGACTGGCACAATTGCACTTTCCTCCTAGATAATTTGTATCCTGCCTTTCAGAGAATTTGAAGTAGATCATAAGTTGCTTGTTGGCATATCTCTTTAGTAATTGCCGCTATCAACAAATCATCCACATACTGAAGTAATACACATTCTCCTGGGATGGACTTGAAATCTTGCAGGTCCTGGCTTAATGCGGATCCAAATAGGGTGGGTGAATTCTTGAACCCTTGAGGTAATCTAGTCCAAGTCATCTGACACTTTGAACCCGTAATAGCATCTTCCCATTGGAAGGCAAAGATACACTGACTTTATGCAGAAATTCGAAGACAAAAGAAAGCATCCTTGAGGTCTAAGACTGTAAAGTATGTTGCCCCACCTGGTATCAAGGCAAGCAGATTATAAGGGTTGGGTACAACTGGGTGCATATTAACTACCGCATCATTAACTGCTCTTAAATCTTGTACAGGATGATACTCATCTGATCCTGGCTTCTGAAAAGGTAACAATGGAGTATTCCAGGGGGAAGTACAGAATTTTAGGATACCATACCTTACGAACTTATCCAAGTAGGTCTGTATGTTTCTCTTTGCCTTTTGGGGTATATGGTACTGTTGTAGACTCACGGGATAAGCCCCAAGCTTCAACTCAATACGTATAGGTGGAATATTATGGGCAAGCCCTAGTGGATTATTTTCTGCCCATACTCCTGGAATGTCAAATTTAGGATTTACACTTGTCATTATGGTATAGAAGCGCCTTTCTTCTTCCCTTGGCACCGATATTGCCATTATGCCCGATAATCCATTAAACTTCAGGGATGTCGATCCATTGGGTAAAAAGGTTATCTGGGCTTGAAGCTTTGATAATAAATCTCGTCCCAGAAGTTGGATTGGACACTCAGGCATATATAGAAATTGGTGCTTCACCAAATGGCCTCCCAGAATGCAAGTGCGACTCTTAAGAACCGGTCTAGCAGTGCTCTTCCCAGTTGCTCCTATTACTGTAATGGTTTTTCCTGATGGAGAAGCAACTAATTTAGTCACCAGGGAATATTCAGCCCCAGTATCGATCATGAAAGGACTTCTCTTTCCCCCTATTGCTACATCGACCATAGACTCCGCTCGGCCAAGGGGGATGGAGTCCGGTCGGTATCAACTCCTCTATTCATCTCCCTTCCCGGTCTCTCTACACTAGCAATAGCTACCGCTAGCATATCTGCCTTCTTCCTTATTTTACGTTCTTCTTCCCTCTTTGTCTCTGTTTCTCTGTTCATGTATACCTTATTCGCAATCTCCATCAACTGTGATATTGACATCCCTACAAATCCCTCAACTTTCTGCAACACCGCAGCCGTCTTTGACATTTGATTGCCTTTTTCCCTCCTGCCTTCATGCCAGCAATAATGGCTTCCCTATAAGCTCTTAAATGGGGCATATCAGCGCCATTAACATTCCAATTCAGATCCACATTCGGGTAATGGGCTGCAGCCCATGCAGCTGGATTGGCCTGGTTCTGTACACGGGCTGCTTCCTCAAGCGCTTTAATAGCCGCTTGATTGATCCGAGTCCTTTCCTCATTATTAAATAAAGTCAATAATAATTGCTGGCAATCAGCCCAAGTAGGATTGTGGGTTTGTATGATCGAGGCAACCAAATCTGTCATGGCTTGAGGCTTATCAGAGTACGAAGAATTATGTGTCTTCCAATTAAATAAGTCAGTCGTAGTGAAAGGAACATAAACAAATACAGGGTCTGCATGTTGCAATTGACCATTATCGTCAAGGTGTGTTGGGCCCTGTGTAAGTCGGAGAGGCATTTGGTAATGTCGGGGTTGGAGGGTACCAGTCATCTGTCTGGTTAATACAGGGCTTCGGTGAGGTTATTTAATATTAAGTTCCGGTCTAGGGGTAATGAGACAAGGGGATGGGGACAACTGATTTTTACTGAATGAAAGATCAGTTAACAGGATATTCCGGGCCAGGCTGGGAGGAGCCTGACCAGGAACCAGAAATGATGTCAAATCCGGATAGGTAGAATTAATGGAGGTAGGTACCGGAAGGGGAGGGCTTAAGGTGAGTGGGCTGGGCTCTGAGCTGGATGAATGAGTGGGAGGAGACACTAGGGTAGGGGGAGTGGCAACACCGGCAACACCTGCTCTAGCCTTGGTGGAGGAGTAAGGAGGTGGTAGAGGAAGCTCAGATTCATGGGGCATATCTAAAATGGGCAGAGTTACGGCCCTGATGGACAGGCGAGTCCTGGCCATCATGAGGCGACATTGCTCATCGTGGCATACTTTAATCCATTTAGGCAATCCTTCCACAACCTGTTTCCAACAATCAATATACGGAAACTGATCATAAAATTCAGGCCTACTAGATACAGCCACGTGTACACGCTGCACTAGATTTGGATCAAGACTACCACGTGGAGGCCATGCGGTCACCAAAATAGGCTATTCTCTGCTACACAATGTAGTCAGACGTTTTGGGGATAATTTTACCCCAAAATCACAAACCTTGTATCCCTTTGCGAAATTATCTAGCATGCATGACAAGGGATCAACGATCTTTGAATCAGACGCACCCATACTTAGCAACGGAGCGGTGAATTCAAAGAAACACAACAAACACACTACCAGCAGTCGCACCTGTTTCCCTGGCAACAGCACCACGTGGTACAGTTACTAGGCCAAACACACACAAAAACACAGCGCTAACATGACGTCTTCACACACGAAAATTCACCAAACACTAGATACTCATCACTGTAACTATAAATCAAACCCTGCAACCATCCATGCAGTAAATCAACTTTCAATTACCTGACTATAACACACTCCAGTAACATCGTCTTTACAATCAGTAGTTATAGTACGGTTAGCAAGTGGTTATGGTACAGTTTTAGAATCACAGGTCGATTTGTAACAGTTATGGTGTTACACATATAACATAAAACAACAGATTGTTAGTAGTTATATACAATACACAATGTCAGTAATTATAATACACGTTAGTGGTTATGGTACCGTGCACTATTATACAGTTATACACACAATTTACACTCCCGCTAGATGGCAGAGCTCAAGCTTTCTAGCAGGACATACAATTTAACCAATACACCAACTTACCAACTACAGTATATCTAACAATTATTTACAATAATTCCAACTATTCTAATTGGCCAGTACCTCGAGAACTATCGAACAATTTACACCAAGGTTCGGTTAGTCTACGCTGCCCAAGCACCACATATAGCGAACTAGTGAGTGGAATTTACAACAGGACTCATTTAGTCTATTTACTCTATCAATAGTCTAGTGCAGGGGTAGGCAACCTTTTAGCAGCACTGTGCCGATATAGGATAGTGATGTCCCGTGGCGTGCCGGTCCTATTTTTTTTAAATTGTATTATGTTTGCTGCTGTATTCTGCTTGTGTTATTTTTACTGTAATTGCTTTGTATCGTTGTATTTGTGCATATTTGAGCTATTATATTGTATATGTTTATGAGTAGTTTATGGTATTGTGTATGATACATATGAATGTGGGCTGTGTATGGGGGCTGCTTGTGGAATTGTGTGGATGGATATGTCACATTGTGTGTTTGGTAGTGTGTGGGGGCTGTTTAGGGTATTGCATGTGAGAGGCTGCATGTGGGGTTGTGTGCATGTATGTGGATTGTCAGTGATGTTGCGTTTAAGCGGATTGTGTGTATGTTTGTGTGTGGGCGGTCCGTATTATTTGTATGAGGGGAGGGTTATTCTGCATTTCTGTGTATATCTAGCAGTGTGGGTGGCTTCCCTGGGTTCCAGCGGGGACCAGGCCGGCCAGATGCAGGTCAAGGACAGGAGCTGCTCTACTACAGTGTGGATTCCCATTCAGGTCAAGGAGAGCAACTGTGAGCTGCTCTACTACAGTGTGGATTCCCATTCACAAGTGCTGGAATGAAGTGCTCTGAGATCACTTCCTCTACGTGCTGCAATGCATAAATTGAGGATTGTCCTTCACCACCTCTTCGTATTAACAGATATCTGCAGTTTTACTGGGACTCCTGATAAGCCAGAGCCTGTTTGGCTCTAGTAGCTTTGAGTGCTGTGCAAAGGCACCTCGAGTGCCGTGCAAAGGCACCTCAAGTGCCGTGCATGGCACTAGTGCCGTAGGTTGCCTAGTGGTTGCCTAGTGGTTGAATTTACACGCCTTCCACTTAGCCAAGATAGGTTGAGATCTAGCAGACAGAATGTACACCAGAATCTGCTTAGTCCCCCGACCTAGCGACCAAAATTTACACTAAGATACACTAGTCAAGACAGGACACCTGAACTATTTACACCAAAAATTCAGCCTGACCCAAACCACCTGCATTAGATGGGCTGACTACAGAGCGTCTAATTTCCAATAAGCGGTGCGCCTTAGCTTCTTCCAAATATAAAACCCCTTGTGGGCCTACCGCTCTAACGGTATCAGTCTTACCTCTTCGTTCCTGAACCTGGGCTTCACACTCATTGACGGAGCACCCCGGTACTCACTGCGCAGAAGCCGATGATCTCCTGGACAAAAGACCAGTGGCGCCGAGACGAAAGGAGGTCCAAGCAGAAGTCCAGGGGTGCTGCCGTGGAGAACGTTGGTAAAGATCTACCGTCTCACGTCTCTGAAATTGTTAAAACTCTTCTCTTATAAAACAGCTTTAAAAAAATTAAAATAAATACACAAAACCGCTTGAGTCTAACAAACTCTCATTCTTTCCATCATGAAATATACAGAGCTAAAACATTTAAACCTGCTGTTGCACTGCTAATGATTCATTGCTTTGTAGAAAGAACACAAATGTCCTGATAAAGCAGAGTTAAACATACAGTTGTCAGTTAATAAAATAATAGAGTGTGGGAGAATTTAAAAACAACTAAAGTACAATATATCATTTGCTTCATTTATTTTTCCTTATTTTGTAGTTAAGGTGATGTGTGTGTCCAGCTTGTAGCTTTGTCCTGTACCCAGGGCCGGCGCCACCTATAGGTGAAGTAGGCGCCGGCCTAGGGCACACGTTTGGAAGGGGTGCCCTGCGTACGCCTCTTCACGCGGCGCTTGCAGACGTGGAACCGGATCCCCAACGCTGGCCCAAGGTAAGCCTCAGGGAGGGGGAAGAAACATTAAAAAAACTTTTTTTTTATATATACGTGTATATATATATATATATATATATATATATTTATTTATTTATTTTGTAACATTTCCCTAAAGTCCCAACCCTCACTACTGCCCCTAACTCACTACCACCAACTACTACCTCTAATCCCATCCTATTGCCCATAACCACCCACTACTGCCCCTAATCCCCTACCCCCTACTAATCCCCTTATCCACACCCTACTGCACCTAACCATCTACTAATGTCCATGACCATGACCACTCACTACTACCCTTAACCCCCTACTATTGTCCCTAACCACCCACTAATGCCCCTAGCCCTGTACTAATATCCCTAACCAGCCACTACTGTCACTAATCCCCTACTACTGCCCCTAACCACCAACTACTGCCCCTAACCCCCTTCTAATGCCCCTAACCACCCACTACTACCCCTAACCCTCTACTATTGCCCCTAACCACCCACTACTGCTCCTAACCATCCACTACTGCCCCTAACACCACACTATTGGCTCTAACCCTCTACTACTGCCACTAACCCCCTACTATTGCCCCTAACCACCCACCACAGGTCCTAATACCCTACTGTTGCCCCTATCCACCCATCACAGGTCCTAACCCCCATTACTGACCCTAATCCCCCACTGCAGGTCCTAACCCCACACTATGCATCCTGATGTCTTACTACTGCCCCTGCCCCCCTACCGCTACCCCTAGCCCCCTACTACTGCCCCTAACCACCCACTACTATCCATAACCCCCTACTGCTGCCCCTAACCATCCACTACTACCCCTAACCCCCTACTATTGCTCCTAACCACCCACTACTGCCCCTAACTACCCACTAATCCCCCTAACCCTCTACTAATGCCCAAACCACCCACTACTGCCCCTTATCACCCACTACTGCCCCTAACCACCCACTACTGCCCCTAAACACTCACTAATGCCCCTAAACACTCACTATTGGCCCTAACCCTCTACTACTGCCACTAACCCCCTACTATTGGTCCTAACCCTCCACTACAGGTCCTAATCCCCTAGTATTGCCCCTAGCCACCCATCGCAGGTCCTAACCCACCATTACTGACCCTAATCCCCCACTATGGGTTCTGACCTCTTACTACTGCCCCTGCCCCCTTACCACTACCTCTGCCCCATATCACTACCCCTGACCCCCTACTACTTCCCCTTACCTCCTGTTACTGCCCTGACCCCCCACTGCAGGTCCTAACCTACCACTTTAGCCCCTAACCCCTTACTTCAGCCCTTAACCCTCCACTTCAGCTTCTAACCCATCATTTAATCCTCTATCCACTAACTACAACCCTTAACTCCACACTCCAGCCCCACTGCAGCCCCTATCCCCCACTGCCTCTAACATCCACTACTGCCCATAACATCCACTACTGCCCCTATCCATCACTACAGCCCCTTACCCTGACTGCTGCCTTTAAACTCCTCTACCCCCATCTATATTGGGCTGAGGGGGAACTAACTTGAATCTTTCTTCCCATCTTGTACTAAATGGAAATTCCACTACTTTCTACATAAATTTCCCACAACATTCACAGCTGCCCAAACGTATCACTCACAGCTTCACTTTCAGCCACCCTACACAACACACACGCCCACACCACAAATCCACTTAACATTTTTACAAATATTCATACCCCAATGAAATGGGCTGCCCATGCCTATGCACACATGTGGTGGCTTTACTGGAGTCTGGGCAAATAAGCTGCCCAGGCAGACCCAGCAAAGAGCATTAATACTGGCCAGATGGTCAGACTGCTGTAAATCCTCAGGGATTGGGCATATGTGATGTCATGACATGGGCGGATCATATGGGTAGGACATTGCGATGTCACTACATGGGGGAGCGGCAAATAATTTTTTTTGTCTAGGGTGGCAAAAATCCTTGCACCGGCCCTGCCTGTACCGGACAGCACCATTGAACATATGATAAAGACAGAAGAACAGCATGTACATCAACAAACTGCAAACCTAATTTACATGTGTGTTGATGCTCATTACCTGAGATGTATTTGTTCTGTTTGGTGACAGATAAGTACAGTTATACTGTAACAAAACAGCCGAGAGACTATTTTACAGTTGATACACAAGAGCAAACACAAGATAGGCCTGACAATTCTTGGCCTGAGTGACAAATACAAATGAATGGCCATTTTTGTACACAAATCTCACATGGACCCTATCCATAAAGAGCATACGTAGTATGGGTTTGACAGATAGCAGCTGTTGAAGTTGCACGGTGTGGCATCATATATCCTCGCAACCTTCTCAGTTCACATGCGCAGCAATGACAACATATTCACAGATCTGTGCATGTCTAACATAAGTAGATTCTGTTTCCTGCAACCCCATTGCAACCAATAAAGTCCAATGTGTTTTACGAAAGTGATGAGCCCTGTCTCATCTCACCTTAAGACCTCCTAGGTCATTAAACATATTTAGCCCCAGAATCCTCAGTCTCCATGGAAATATCCATTATCCTCAGTTCAGACATGAAGAACAGGTCCTGATCCCATTAATAAATTCATACAGTGCCAGGGTAAAAAATTCTGCACATATCCTGATCAGTGTCTCACTCCTGTGTCCCTTACCAGACCTCCCCTTGGCAAACATTCATTTGTTCTTGTGTTTGTGAGACTAAAATAGGACAGATAGTATTATTTAAAAGAAAAGTGTGTAGCCAGTTAAAAATGCCTCCCCCTAAAAAAAAGACCCAATCTATACCATAAAAAAGATTATAAATTATACCAATTTAGTCAAAAGTGGCCACTAGTAAAACTAACTATAATCAATCTACAAATGCTGAAAATTTTAAAAATTGGAAAAACAATGTTAAAAAGTATAAGCGTAATAACTGAACAAAGTGACCACATAGAATAATACTGTGGATCTGGTAATGTTTATTTTTTTTAAATGGATCAGTTCATCTTAGGAAAGCAGAGTCATGAAGGTATTTATTGAATATATCCAAGTTGGACTATTAAATGAGATAAATTATTTCAAAGTCATATTCTGTCCCAGGGGTGTAAAATGCTACTTTGAAAGCTCTCGCTGTGTTATTGACAATTAAAAGAATTCCCTTAATACTAAGATGAAATGTTCCCATTTTCATTATGATTTTGGCTGCACTGTTTAGTAGTAGTATCACGGGGTTATTCACTATAGTGAGTATTATTGGGAACTCCAAAGGAACTCAAAGTGAATTTCAAATTTAAAAGGATAGCACCAAAACAACTTTAACTTAGTAAAGCAGTGTTGGTGTATAGATCATGCCCCTGCACCGTCATTGCTCAATTATCTGGCATTTAGGAGGATATAGGTCAACTGCTGATAACTATGTATATATATATATATATATATATATATATATATATATATATATACATTTTTTTTAAATTTATTTATTATTTTTTATTTGTTTTATTCTATCTTTCTTAGTTAACAGCAGTGTTATGCAATAGCCAGTTAAAGGGTGAGTTAATGTGGATTCTTTTGACATTTCACAAGGCATTTTTTACAATGTGAAGATTCACAGGAATTAGTTCAAGGTATCTGCAGTGATTGTCTGCTTCCAACAGACTTCTTTTTCATTGCACATGTTCAGAGTAACTGTGATCACAAATATATATCGCTACGGCATGTACTCTGGCAGAATCCATATTTACGTCATTTCACAAAGCTACACAGTTGGGAATGACAGAACACCTTTTAAGTTTCTTTCTATATAAAGGTGAAGGAGCCATACAGAAGGTAAGTGCAGGGCAAACATCCTGTCATGTTAGACAATGTTGAATAGGTATCTATTTCTAAGAATTAAAGAACCACAATTCAAAGAAGTGAAAAATAATGATTTCCACCTACTGTGATACCTGATATTATGTAACAACGAGAACTTTCAGAATGACTGAAGGAAAACTAAAGATCACATTCTGAAGGACATCTGTACTCAGCAGGAAAATAATGTTTTTTTCTTTTGTATTTTATTGAATTTTAATAGGAGTGGGAGGGAGGGTTATTTAAAGTTAGAGAGTTATTATATTACATATATCAGGATTCTTAACCCATGGCATCGGTGCCATCTTGCAGGGTGTTTCTTCATGTCTATTTAATTTGATTTACTAAACTGGAAACTGTTGGAAACTGACAGGGTGATGGCAACGTTTAGACCAAAATGACAGAAATGGTCATATTCAACAACCTAGCTGTCTCTCCTGATTGGCTGTTATGGTTAAAAATGTGCAACTTTCTTTTTGATTTTTCACATTTATAACTGGGTAATAAACTCTCATTATGTAAATTTAATAGAGAACAGCAGTTACTCAAACATCTATTTAAAAAATGTTTGAGAACGTCCATGTGTAACTAATGTTCTTTTTGGTCTTGCTTGGACATTTTATTGATGATCACCTGACCGTACAAACCCTGACTACATACATACATGCACAAATACATTGCTAATTTGCCATGGTTAAGTAAAGTTATGTATAGTAAACTGAAAAAAAAAATGCACACCTGACTGTCAGACAACACTAATGTTTTCTAGAGACCACAGAAGAGCCCCTATTGGCTATTGCTAGCACACTTATTTCATTAATGGATAAAACAATTAATGAAATAAGTGTGCTAACAATAGCCAATAGGGGCTCTTCTGTGGTCTCTAGAAAACATTAGTGTTGTCTGACAGTAAGAATTTGGTTATTCAATATAGTGAGCCAAAATAATGGAAATTCTATTTATTTTATTCCACAACTTTATGTAAATCTCACTAGGTGTCGTTTTAAACTATAGTGTACCAAACTAAAGATTCAATATTTTCCAAAACTTGTAATTTGTGTTCTTTAATGGGTTGCATAGGTCCACCTTACATTTCTCTACCTGTCCTATAACTTTAGGAAGTACCAACAAACTTTTACTTTTCTTCTGTTCTTCTTAAATTTGCTCTGGAAAACAGAACCTTTTATAGAATCTCAAGATCTTACATTGATCTATAATTAGACAAAACACTATGATTTACTTATTAGTAAATACTGTAGGCATTGCCTTGGCAGCACACCAAAGAACTGTGACAGTAACATAAAGAAAAATTGGGATTAGCTTCCAATGCACTACTAATTATAGGAGTTGTCAACTCTTATGGAAGAATCCTAGGACTATATAATTAGTCTCTCCTTTTTAATGTTTTAATTGTTTTAAATTCCCGCCTCCTGAAATTAATTTAATGTTAAATGAGCAGGTCTGTTTAGCAGGAGCGTATCATTATATTAGATTTATTTGGCTAAAGTTGACTTTACCGGGGCCTTGCGGAACTCTAACCTAGCTCTGTTGGTAAAAAGCAATCAATATATGTTGGACTATGTATACATTTAAAAATAATAGTATGTTTATTTCACTCTCAACATTTCAAAAGGCACATATAGAGACCTTGTTTTAGGGGGATTTTCGGGAAATGTGGTTAGGGGGTGGGGAACTACTGTATTGTAAATCAATTAAAAACTGACTAGTTGGAGAGAATTTAGAGATGTACCAAGAGACCAAAAAGAACACTTGTTTGAAATGAATTGCTAAATGTGTGGTTCCGATGTTTTCCTTTTTGGGAACCAAGACTATTTATTTTATTGGGTAAGTCATTTGGTATATTAATAAACATTTTATTTACACAAGTTAATTTATATATATTATAAAAACCAAACAAATAAAGTTACTTGTGCACTATTATAAATCTCTGTGCATAATAAATGGATGTTGTTTTGGCCATTAGATGTAAGCCCACCTGCCACATCAAGGCAAAACTCTTGATGCCATGTTACAGTGCTTCCACCCATCCCATGTGTTCCCTATTAAAGGACCACTCTAGGCACCCAGACCACTTCAGCTTAATAAAGTGGTCTGGGTGCCAGGTCCAGCTAGGGTTAACCCATTTTTTCATAAACATAGCAGTTTCAGAGAAACTGCTATGTTTATGAATGGGTTAAGCCTTCCCCCTAATCCTCTAGTGGCTGTCTCATTGACAGCTACTAGAGGCGCTTGCGTGCTTCTCACTGTGATTTTCACAGTGAGAGCACGCCAGCGTCCATAGGAAAGCATTATGAATGCTTTCCTATGTGACCGGCTGAATGCGCGCGCAGCTCTTGCCGCGCGTGCGCATTCAGCCGACGGGAAGGAGAAGAGGAGGATCGGAGGAGGAGAGCTCTCCGCCCAGCGCTGGAAAAAGGTAAGTTTTAACCCCTTTCCCCTTTCCAGAGCCGGGCAGGAGGGGGACCCCAAGGGTGGGGGCACCCTCAGGGCACTATAGTGCCAGGAAAGCGAGTATGTTTTCCTGGCACTATAGTGGTCCTTTAAGGGTTAATAACTATCTACTGGTTTAATTATTTTTTCTTTGTCTGAAGCTGCAGCAAGCATGATGAATTAATAGTGTAGGACTCACATAAGTGGTTTGCCTTGACGTGGCAGGCGGGCTTACATCTAATGGCCATTGGAGTGACTAAATAACCTCCATTTATTTAAATATGCACAGGGATTTGGAAAAGTGCACAAGCAACTTTTTACTTTTTTCTTTGGTTTTTATTGTATGTATTGTGGTGGGAGTCTGAGCGCAGGACTTATTTTTGTGTATTTGTTTTATATATATATATATATATATATATATATATGTGCATATGTGTCAACTGGAAGACCGATTGACAGATTAGGTATTTATATTGATGAGGAGCTTTGTGGTGCTCTCATATAAACCAGTTCTTTATAACCTTCTAGAAAATGAGGGTAAAAAAAGTAGGAGTTTATTGATTTGTGACTGATAGCCGTAGGTGAGACAGCTACATTTTAAAAATTAATTCTATAATTAAAGCACTGGTATAGCCCTTGGCCTGTGGGAATGCATGCCCTTATTACAAAAGACAGTAAGACTTAAAGGGTCATGGGTTCTGACAGAAGCCTGGAAGTTCTGAAAATTGAGGTAAGTGCATATGTGTAACCTAGGATATGATGCAGGGCCAGACTGGCGCATGGGCTGCACTCAGTGGTGTATCCTGGTTTTGTGCTGCCCTAGGCAGGACAAAACTCAGACGCCCCCTCCCCCCGTGCCACCCCCACCTAACCCTTCCCCCCCGCCCCACCTTCTAAATACACACACACACAGTCAGACACAAACAAACACACACACAGTCAGACACACACACACACAGTCAGACACACACACACACACACACAGTCAGACACAAACACACACACACAGTCAGACACAAACACACAGTCAGACACAAACACATAGTCAGACACACACACAGTCAGACACAAACACACACACACACACACAGTCAGACACAAACACACACACACAATCACTCACATTAACACTTTTTTTTTAATTTAACCCTCCCCCAGCCTCCTTACCTTTGGGAATGCTTGGGGGGGGGAGTTCTCTCTCTCCCTGGGGGTCCAGTGGCTGCCGGTCGGGCTGCTGGGTGTGCGGGCTGCTGGCGAGGGAGCACTTCCTCTGAGCACTCTGCTCAGCTCCTTCACGCACTGCAGAGTGAGGCTGGGAGCCGGAAGATGAAGTCATATTCCGGCTCCCAGCCTCACTCTGCGGCGCGCGAGGGAGCTGAGCAGACCGCCCAGCATGTCAGTTAGCCGCAAGGCTAACTAGGCATTTGCCCTGGGAATTTAGGGGGCGGCGTTTTTTGCCGCCCCCTGAAAAATGCTGCCCAAGGCAAATGCCTTGTTTGCCTCACGGCTAATACGCCCCTGACTGCACTGGAAGTGCATTAAACTAACATCATTGTCATTGTTTCACCCCCTAGCAGTTGCACTCTCTGTGTAGAAATTGCCTGGGCTGAATTTTTTTTTCTGTCTGGTCCTGATATGATGTGTAAAAAATAGACCCACTAAACTAAAATAAACAAAAATGTTTTTAATAGCACTCTCTGCCCTGTGACATGGAGAGTTTTAATAGGGAATACAGATGTATAGTTTGTGCAATAAACACATGCATATACTGTTACTATAGAGGTATTATATACAAGCATGCTAGGTCTAGATGCACCCATGTGCTCCAATAAGTGAGGCATCTCCCAAGGTCATGGGTGGCATATGTATGAATCTGAACCCTTTAACGGAGACCAGATCCACGTATCATAATATGTAATGTGGATCTATCTGTATTTCACCACTGCCATGTGTGGACTGGATTTAAATTTGCTCAATCAAGTGGATCTTTTTCTCCATTCATTGGTGGGTGACAAGCCCACTTTAAAGAAAATAATGTTGGAGCGTTGTCATTGTAACCTGTGCCAATGCTCCAAAAAGCCAGGGCTTGCAAGAGAGAGTTAGGAACCTGCAGAGGAGTAGACAGACAGTCTTGCGAGCTCTCTCTTCAGCAGAGAGAGACTGCAAACGGTGTGAGGAGGGAGATCTTCCTCCCTGTGATAGTATAGATAGATATATTGCAAAATCTGCCCGAAGGGCAGCCCTGGATGTAAATATGACCCTGCTTAAATTTTATGTACTAATAAAGAATCTCTCGTTATTATTTTATATGTATGTATGTATATCTAACTAATTGTAAATTATACGAAGCCCACTTTCTTAAAAAATGTTCTTGCTTTTTACAATATGGAGACACGTATGAACTGGATAGGGCTCACCATAAATACAAAACACATAATAAAAGTTAAAAGATTGTGTTTAATGTAGCAAAGCAGTGAAGCATTGTATGCTCACCCTCACTTCACTTAATATTTCTCAATGATTTATATATTGGCAAAATCATCTAAATGATCAGGCTTTAGTATGAGCACCTTGAGAATATAGTACATGCCGGTATTTTGTAGGGTTGGTGTTGGGAAGAAGGGACTATGATAATGAAGGTTGTGCATTGAACCATGGAAGCAGTAAAACTAAATTAATGATTTCCTGCATTAGCTAGCAACATAAATGCTGCCTATAAATCTGATGTAAAAAAGATTAGAAAATTGTTCCTTACGGAATTCCACATACAAAAATATACTACTGCTTAAGGTGGAATAAATCTACTCTTTTTTAAGCTAATGTTCCATTAAGGCTTTTTTTGGAAGGTTAGTAGTTACAGTTGGTTAAAACAAAGTGTAATACCCTGTTTGGCATTATAACATCAAGAGAATATCAAACTTTACTGAATATGTTGTGTCTTGGTAATTTAAACTGGTAAACCAAATATGACATGTACAAGGTATTTTTTAAAAAGACTGCTGTCTTTAAAATCTTTTAAAAGAGTGAATGATTGCTCAGGCATAGGAGGGGGATCCATAACCACTAAACCCAATGCTAAATGAAATAAGTGTGCTTTAAAAGCAGCTCCAAGTGCACACTCTACTAAGACCATAAATTATGTTGCATATCAGGAGTCTAAAAATGTATTGTGCCAAATGGTGCATGTGTCAGCCATTTTACATATAGATCTGTACTGCATATATATTTATACCTCAGTCAGTCAGTAGGTATATTTAGAGATATAAATATGGAGCGGAAGGTATTAATAAACTAGGTGACCACTTAAAAAAATTATAATACCAGTATATAATGACTATTAGATTCAGCACTAGAACTGCTTTTTAAATAAACACAATTGATAAAGGGAATTGTGTCTATCAAGATCAGCCTTTCTCATGTTAGTTACTGCTGTTGATGCAAAAGAGGACATTTTTTGAAGCACAATCCATATTTGTAACATACTAGGAAATTATCCTGTCAGATCTTTCCTTTGATGAAGAAACTGTTACCCCACCTATTAAAATGATATCCCTGAATATTCTGTTTTTGCAAGTATTCATCTAGTTGCTGTTTAAACATCTGTACAGACTCTGATGAAACCACCTCTTGAGGCAGAGACTTCCATATCATTATTGTTTGTATTGTAAATAACAATTTCCTTTGCCTTTAGACTAAATGGCCTTTCTTCTCTTCCCAAATGCGTGATCTTGTATCCTATCCTTAGTCCTGTTTATGAATACATTTCCAGACAATGATATACACATATACACATAATGCTATATGAGGCGCTGTTTTTCTAAACTAAACAGATTAAAAATTGTTAACCTTCCATTTATTTTATTAATTGTTGTAGCCCACTCTGCACTTTTTCTAGTGTCATAATATTTTCCTTTACAGCAAGTGCCCAAAATTCAAAGTGTGGTGTTACAATTGAGTTATAAAGAGAAAAACAATGTTTTGCCTCTTTTTGTACATGACAATACCTTACCGCCCTTAGCAACTCCTGATTTATTGCACTTTGTTCCCTAGTTTGTTGTATATAACAATTCTCAAAACTTTCTTGTGTGGTGTTATCCCTATTTCACTATAATTTATGGTATAAGTTGTTTGTGTATTATTTTCCCCAAAGTGCATAACTTTACATTTATCTACATTAACTATATCTTCCATTTGAGTTTCGAGTCCTACAATCTATCTAAATCTCTCTGCAGCAAAGTAATATCTTGCTTACTTTGTATTACTTTAGAGTTTTGTGTTATCTGTAAACACTGAAACATGACTTTTAATGTCTATTTCAAGGTCATTTATAACTATGTTAAATAGAAGTGGTCCCGGAACAGAACCCAGAGAGACCCCACTTGCCACTTTTGTCCAGCTTGAAAATGTATCTTTAAGGGCAACTCTCCTTACTCTATCTTTAAGCCAATGCTCTACCCAAGAACAAATTTTTTAATCTATGAATTTCTAAGAATTGTCATCTGTTATTATACCTTGTGTGTTTTATGTGCAGCTCTTAAAGTTAATATTTGGTGACTTAGCCAAGTATTATGTGACATTAATTATGATTTTTCTCTACACATGCAAACAGAATCCCACTCAACCTAACAGGACTCAAATTGTCAATGTTCACCAATGTTATTTGTAATATTTTCCAGTGCTGGACCTGTAGATAAAACCACACTGTACCTTAATAATTTATGTCAGTACGTCTTAGCATTAATCTATATTGATCCAATCTCCTTTTCATTTGTTTGTGCTCTGCACTGATGGATACATTAATTTTTTAGATTACAGGAAGTTTACGTCTTCTTTTTCCTTTAGAGATTTATGTATTTGCTTTTAGTATATGGAAGATGCACATCAGGCTAGTGATTAAGAGGCTTGTGTTTAATAAAATAAGCCTAATGTAGATCAAAGTATTTAATAAGATGATAATTGTCTGTTATTTATGTTGTGATTACCAGAACCCTTCAAATTACCTTTGTTTAATATGATTGGGAACTCGCTGGAATGGATTTAAATATAGTTTCTATTACCGTCCTCAGCATGTATTCCTAGATTGTGTTTTTTAAACACAAAACAATGACTCACTAGTGAGGAAGTTTACTTTTCACTTCTGAGTTATTGTTGTTTAATAAAAAACGTTATTTTTTAATAGCACATTTATTTGAGAATTGGTGTGGGGACCAGTAGGGACATATTACTGAATGATGTGATGAAGGATGAGCTAAAATAATGTCATATGGGCAAACATGATTTTATTTTATATAGCACTGCATGTTTAATGAGGCGCTAATGCTGTGGTTACTGGAGACTAAACCAATATTGAAGATCAAGGAACATAAATTGGGACTGTCCCATTGTATCTGGGACAGCTGGATGGTATGTTCCACTTAACGAGGATGATCTGGAGAAACCTAGAGCAGTTATCAGGGCAATAAAAATGATTGTTGTGGCAATTGCTTAGGTTGTAACACTTTGCTCCACACTTGCTGAATTTATACATTTGCAAAGGTGTAAATAAGTACAATTTAAGGGGGTTATTTAAAAAAAAAAAAACAACTCTGTCACTTATGAGCTTTTTATAAAATATACAGTGTTTATAAAAGAAAATATGTTTTGACTGTTTTTACAGAAGTTCCAGTGCAATTAAACAAATAAAAATAAGAAAATGTATATGTAGGTATATACATATAATAACCCAGGTACTCAAAAGTAAATCAACTTATTTGTCTTAGGAGAATACTTCATGTCATTATTTTAAGTAGTTATAGGTCATATATTACATGAACAGTCTTTGTTTTTTTTGTTTTTTGTATTTTACAATTTTCTATCTGTCTGTCGTCTGTCTGTCTGTGTCTCTCTCTCTGTCTGTCTGTCTATGTACAAAGAAGGTGAGTACAGACCTAGTTGAAAAAAGTATACAGCTGTGCATTTATTAGTACATCACTGCACAAAGTTGCATACAAGTTAAAACTGATGTTTCTTCTTGGACTTTTATCAAGAAAATCTTGGGCAAACATTTATAATGCCTAAAGAGGCACCTGAATATCAGAAAGAGGGAAATCTGAAAAACGAGAGTGAAACATATAACAGTGAATATAACCAAGATTGGGGAGATCTGTTGCTAAAATACCACAACCAGTTTACCAAGAAAGAAAGGTGCAAAGTAAAGACAAGTAAATATGCAAATGTTATACAAAGTAACAGTGCATAACAATGTGGTAGCAGGGATAGTGCACCCGTGAGAAATGTGTCAAACACAGAGAGGAGAGAAATAAGTGGCAAGACATACATATATGTACAAAGATATAAATAACTGCAGAGGCAAACAATCAGCGCAAAGGCATAACATATAGGTAAAAATAGTATGGAGGATACAGCTGTGGATCTACAAAAAAAACCCTCAATAATAGTATAATACTGTATGTACATAAAAAAAGTGCGCATAATAGGTATAACTCACATAGCATGTATTTTGTCATTGTAAACCATAACATACTACAGACTTCAAGTCCATAAGAGTATACAAATATTCCACAAATTGGAATATTTGTACTTAACCTACACATTGTCTATCGTGATTCCAAGAATCAATTGATAAGATTGTGCTCGTTGAGATCAGTCAGGGCAACACTGTCCAATGGTACGTAGCATATGCCAAGAATAATAACATACTAAAGGTAATAACAAATTACGGGACAATCATAGTACTTAAACTATACAATTGATAAGATTGTGCTCATTGAGATCCCTCAGGGCAACATTGTTCAATGTAAAAATCTAAAAGCACTCATGTTAAAGTAGTTCATTACATCGATCTACACTTCTTGGGGATTCTGCAATGTGGTCATTTTCTGTAAATAGAAGATATAATAGATGGTGTACAGCTTCTAGAAAACATCATGCCACCAGTTTATTGGAATGTCCATTCCTGCATGCAGTTTGAATTGATGACAGGTGGCCCTTTGTTCTTTCTGGGTTTTCTCACATAAGAGAGACCAGTAGGACATTAAAATGTATATATGACAAAAGAGATGTTGCATAGTCCTATGTTTGAATTTAAGTGTAGTTTCTATCGCTTCATTTTTTGCAGAAGCCCAACTCATTGTTTTTTAACCGACCCATTGCCTGGCTAAAAATGCTGACTAGAAAACACAATTGTTGTCCACAGTAAATTTGGTATCTAATATATATTTTTTGATATACTTATTATCACAACATATAGCTGCTTGGTAAACAAGAGATAACACGACAAATCATCTGGTCCAACTGTAGTCTCCATAACATCCACCCACGTGAGACTCCATATCCCAAATTAATATTTGTTAATGCAGTAAAGAGGTGATAACCACCAGTTGCTTCAAGACATAATATGCCCCAAAATCAACAAAGGAAGCCAGGTTAAGAGCATCCCTTCATTTGAAAATTCCATGAAGTTGTCATGATACCTGTTGTATCCGCTTTAGAGGAGGTTGGGCATCTGGACGCTTATTCCCAGGAAGGGACACGTGCACCCATCTCCTTCAGCCGGCCGCGATAGCCCCGCCCCATTTTATGAAGCGGCGCAACTTTGCCGACGTCAATGACGTCAGGGCCCCCCGAAAAGTTTGAATCAGAACGTTTTGGGGGCGTGGACATCATTTAAAGAGCCAAGGTATAAAAGGTACTCACTTACAGTGAGTCATTGCCCTGTCGTGGTTCCAGCTTGTCTGTTCCCTCAGTGCTATTTCTGTTGTTGACTTTTGGTTCTTGACTTGGCTTTGTATCTTGACTTTGCTACTTTCTCCTACCCTTGTACTCGGCTTGGCTTTCGCTTACCTGTCTTCTCGTTCCCTCGACCTCGGCTTGTTCCTGACCATTCTTTGTCCAGGTGACGTTAGTCTGGCCACTCTAAGGTCCAGTATACTCCTTTCTAGTTATTAGTACTCTGCGTGTTGGATCCCTGTCTCGATCCTGACAGAAGTGTGATAAGTAAGTCTGGGAATGATTTAGGCCACAAGGAGTGTAACTGAGTAACTAAAAGAAAATCTAAGCTGACCAAAGAAAACTAAGGCATCTTAAGAATGCATTGAATACTTACATACATGAGAACAGTTCACCTCCACTCAGGGGATAAATTCAGAATTTGAGGAAATTATTTTGGTGTAGAGTCTGGTATTGTCAAAGAAACGCCCTGGAACTATTACAGACATAGAACCATGTATGTGGCCGGTCAGAACTAACATGGTGGCCTTTCCCCTACACTGCATGGATCTGAGCCAGAGGCGTAACTAGAAACCACGGGGCCCCGGTGGGAAAATTGCCCTGGGGCCCCCCATACATCTACCTTGTACCCCACACATCCCTGCCCCCCGCACACAAGCAGACAAACAGATACACATGCAGACACATACATACAGACACATACACACAGAGACCCATACATACAGACACATGTAGAGCCCCACACACATATACTCATATACACACACTCAGACATAGATGCATTGTAACGGATCACCTGGCACCCCGACTGGGTACCTCCGTTGAAGGAGGCTCCTAGCACTTCCTGAGATCTCCAAGCACTCCAGCTGACGCCATAACCACCGTAGACTCCTTCAGAGAGCAAGACAGGAACAAGCTCTTACAAGAGCTTAGTAGTGATTAAGCAAGGGAGTATGACTAGCATAGCAATCCCTTGTAGCAGATTCCCCCAATAAGAGATGGCACTCCAAATTGAGGGTGAAGTAGAACTGACAGAGCTGTGGGTTTATTGTTCTTATATATACATTCTTACACATTAGTACCACCCACAGGGTTTTGTAAAACAACCAATAAACACATACAATACACTCAGACACTCCCACACAAAATCCTCCCCTCTGCCTGTGATACAATTACCTTACATAATGGGTTAATATAATTATCACAGGTAGGAAAATACACAGTTTTACACAATTTTCATAACTTTAAAAGTATGCATCATATTCACATAAAATTTTCAGAATCAGCATACTCCAAATACCAACATACGTCAAAATCATACAAATTGGTCCAGTGGGTCAAAGTTAGATCGACGTCCTTTGTGACCAAATGAAGCATGGCTTTTCTGCCCAAAACCAGTTCCACAGAGTCTTCTATCCTGGAGATAATTGGGAAGTAATCCAATTATCTACAAGGACAGAGGCAAAACTCCATTAGCCACATGGTAGCAAAATACAATAAAATACATAAAAATATATACCCACAAATCCAAAACCGGAGGCGGACCTATCTCCTCAGCACTAAAGAGCTTCATATATCTGAGTAGGTCCTAGCCTACATCAAAGCTATCAGAAGGAATCTCAAGCCGGACGGACGGACCAACCATCCAAGTACATCCTATAGTGGGGATTAAACCACTAAGTGCCCTTTCTCCTAGAGCTGGTTCAAGCTCCAACTAATGTGAGTGAAATATCTTTCTCTTGATTTATATACCACATATGGACGTACAATATTTCACCATTGGCAGCTTTTTCTTCTGTTTTTTATCTCCACATATATGGACTATTTGCCATACGGACGGTGCAATACCTGAGGACTATAACCTTACCACCATATATAAGTGAGACTGTTTCAACTTACAATTTTCATAGTTGGATGAACTCTGTCTATTTTATAACTTGATTTTACTTATTATTACTTGCTGATTTTATTTTTATTTATTGTCTAGTCCTAAGCGCAGCCCTTAACCCCCTTTTGTATTTTCCTGTTTCTCAAAGGGTTTCTTGAGGGATTCCCTTTCTAGGGTTGCTGCTCTTTTAGTTAGCGCAGACTGTTCCCCCCTTTTTTTCACATAAAAATATATAACTGTGCAGCTATTGCATAAAACAGGTACATTCACATACACATCCCCAGATAGCTTAGATCTGAGCGCACATTATTGCTGAATGGCGCTCAGATCACATACATACAGTTCAATTGCCATGGAGCCAAAGTCTTTCACATAGTCTTTCGTTATACGAATGGGCTCCATGGCATAGCTATCTGGGGTATCTCTGTTCAAATAGGGCAAGTACCGAATGACCAGGCTTTCGTGTCTTTGCAGGGAAAAATCAAGCGTTTCAACATGGGGCCAAAGTCACAGGGCAGGAGGCTGGCTATCAGTCTTCTCCAATGCCAAGTGGCGAGGCTGGTTCCGCCACACGCATACACTCACAGACACACACACTCAGACACACGTACACTTACAGACACACACACACACTCACAGACACACACATACACTTACAGACACATACACACATTCAGACACACATTCACTTACAGACACACACACTCAGACACATACAATCACAGACAAACACACATACACTTACAGACACATACACATTCAGACACACACACATACACTTACAGATACATACACATTCAGACACACACATACACTTACATACACACATACACATTCAGACACACACAAACATACATTCAGACAGACACACACACACTCACTGACACACACATACACTTACAGACACATACATTCAGACACACATTTCACTTACAGACACACAGACTCAGACACATACAATCACAGACAAACAAACACACACACACTCAGACACACATACACTTACAGACACATACACATTCAGACACACACATACACTTACAGATACATACACATTCAGACACACACATACACTTATACACACATACTCACTGACACACACATGCACTTAGACACACACACTCACTGACACACACATACACTTACAGACACACACACTCAGACACACATTCACTTACAGACACACACACATACACTCAGACACACACAATCACAGACAAACACATACACAGACACTCAGACACACATACACTTACAGACACATACACATTCAGACACACAAATACACATACACATTCAGACACACACATACACTTACAGACACACACATACACATTCAGACACACATACACACATACACTTACATACACACACAAATTATTAATATTAAATGTCCACCCAGCCTCCCTACCTGGAGAGCTGGCATGGATCTGTCCCTGGGGTCCAGGGCTTCAGTGCGGCGGACGGCAGAGTTCCTGTCAGACGTGGTGAGGGAGCTGTGTTCTCTCTGCTTTGCTCCCTCGTGGGCTGTCTACTGATGCCGGGAGCCGGAATATGAAATCATATTCCAGCTCCCAGCATTAGCAAACGGCAAGCGAGGGAGCAGAGCAGAGACCACACAGCTCCCTTGCCGCGCCTGACAGGAACTCTGCCACCCACCAGGGGGGTCCATTAGGTGGCCAGCAGGTCACCTCTTGGGCCCCCCTATGACAGGGGGAACATGGAGGGGGCGCCACTGATCTGAGCGCTATTTGGAGAACTAGGGCACTCAGATCAGGGCTATTTGGGGATCTATTATTTGTGTTGTTATTGTATGTGTTTATGATGTTTTGTGGTATTTTTAAGTTTTTGTGTTTTCCTCTCTGTTCCTGGGCGATAATTAGCTTAATGGTTTTTAACACAATTGTCTCCCAGGCCAGAGATTCCTGGCAGGGGCTTGTGTTGAATACAATGGAGAACCCCTGCTGGGGTCTGTACAAAACATTTGGTTCGGCAATTCGGGTAAATAAAATAAATTTGACTGCTTCGGCAATTCGGACCACTGGCGTTCGGTTTGGTGCGGCACTTCACAACTTCGGCACTTCGGACATTAGAATGTCCGAATGGAATGAAATTCGCATGAATGTACATTCAGAATGAAACAAATCGCACATGTCTAATCGCTTCCTCTTCTCTCCCTTTCTCAGGATCTGTTCTTCATTTTTTCCTAACTGCTCTAGTTTTCTTTAAAACATAAGACAAAGTAGGGACTATTTTGTCTTGCGTATTTTTACTACGCTTGACCCGCTTTGACCCAGGGGAGGAGCAAAGTCCATTTCCTGTGGTCAAAGCAATGTTCCTACAATTCTCACCTTCCTCCTGTCGCTTCATTCAGCATTTGAACGCCGGCAAAACTACCAAATTTCATCCTTAATAATGAGAACATTTTGTCCATTCGTGTTAGGACGCAATTCTAGAGTTTTGTTCGTAACAATATTTCGTTTGAATGAATTAAACTCCGATCCTATTCCTACCATGAGTAGATAGCTCCCTAATTCCCACGGTACACAATAATATTACTTAGTATTAGTAATAAATCTGCCCTTACTTACTATACTGTGAGTAGGGGCATGTCTACTAAATGGTCAGCAACCAGTGGCTGCTCAGTGTTGTAAAAAACATGTTTCACTACTTTAATAAAGTGCCCCTTAGTAACTAAAATAACTAACAGGAGGGGACAAAGTGTCCCTCCCAAGCCCCCACTAATGCACCAAGAGTGGGGGCCACTAAACTAAACGGGAAACCTAGTGTCCTCCCTCGGCCCCCACCCACGGCTCATGGCCCCAAAATACAATAGGGGGAAGGACCTACTGTCCCATCCCGCCCAGCCCTCACCCATGAGCAGTGGGTGGGGACCTTAAAATACATTAGGGGGGCCACCTATTATCCACCCCCCGGCCTCCACCCATGTCCAGTTCCTTCTCAAGTGTAGGAACTGCCTCTTATGAGAACTTTCCAACCAGGTTCCATAATGATAGCTAGACTAGTCTACATGAGTGTAGATTTTACTATATTTAGGGAGGCAAGGGTGGGCCAGGGGGCCTAGATGGTGGTTTTAACACTACAGGGTCAGGAATGTTTGTGTTCCTGACCCTATAGTGTTCCTTTAAGGGACAGGAATAAAATTGATTCTTACAGAATCACAAAACTTTATTTTGTAAAAAAAAAATGCTTCTTTAATACAGTAAAGGGAGAAAATACAGTAATAATTGAAATAAAATTATATGCACATCTAATGATACATCCAGAGATCCTATTTTATCTCCAGCATATGGGTCACTTTGCTTCTTAATGATGCATGCAGGATGCTTGGGTCACCAAGGGACACTCACTATAGCTCACAGTGACTTTTTTTTTTCTCAATAAAAGGTACACTAACTAGGTTTCCTGTACTGATTTGCACTCTATAAAAGCTAATAGTGATCAGCTGGAGCTAATTCTATGTGTGAGTACCTGCAGCCTGACCCTGATCTCTCTAACAGCTGTCAGTATAAAAGAGTCTATATCAGCAAAAATATTTGCAGCTTTAATACTGGTCAGGATTTTGTATCTTTTTAGCGTCCGTCTGTGTCATAGAAGCAAATAATTTTTATTTTCTTTAAATATCAATTTAATTAGATGGCGCTGGCAAAAATAGCTGTGAGCAAATCTGTGTGGCAATATCTCCCTCTGGGACAGTGATGTTGGTTTTCTTTAAAAAAGTAACTGAACACAATAATCCCCACAGAATCGTGCTGAAATCCCGTCTAAAAATGTTTAAATTGGCACAAGGGAATTCTCCAAATCCTTTAAGCAGTGCTAGCTGAAATGTATATGTATTACCATTTTACCATGAATACACTGATGTTTTATTATATGTGAATGGAGAGGTGTATTTATATAGACTGTGCCTGTGACAATAAAGGAATGTATTTGTTTGGAGTGTATGTGTGAATTAAAGGGTGTGTTTTGTTAAACGTGTTTTGTTTGTGTGAAAGCAGGGTGTGAAAGTAGTACTAATTCATTGTCCCCTTGTGCTCCCATTGGCCAGTAGTAATTGGTCAATTGTATCCTCTTCCTCCCATTGCCAAGATTAGTGCATTCTTCACTATTTGTCTGTGGAAGCCCATTGTCAGTATAACCCTATTCTTTCCCATCTGTTTCTAAAAAAAAACCAGTAGTCCCCCCCCCATTTACCAGTAGTAGTCCATTCTTACCCTTCCTTCCCTGTTGCCAGTAGTAGCCTATTCTCACCCTCCCCTAACCTCCAAGTTATCAGTAATAGCCCATTCTCTCCTCTTCCCTAACCATTGGCACGTCTACACCATTCTCTCCATGCCCTTTCCTATTGCCCATATTAGTCCATTCAATATGATCAGCACAAACACAAAACTTTTTTTTTTTTGTTAAATTTACTTTTTTCTCATGCTGGATTGTACTTTTCTTTTTTGTACAGGAGATTACATCAACAGTTCGAAAGCTACAAAGAGCAAATTCGAAAAATAGGGGAAGACACACGTCGGTACCCTGGAGAGCACAAGGATGATGCTCCAACGTGTGGGATCTGCCATAAAACAAAGTTTGCAGATGGCTGTGGCCACATATGCTCTTACTGCCGAAGGAAGTTTTGTGCACGGTGTGGAGGTCGTGTTTCTTTGCGGTCAAACAATGTAAGTGTTTTTAAGATATTTTACTATGTTCTTAAGATATGTTAAATGTTCTTTAGATATGTTAACTATGTAACTAACTATATAACTATGTACTGACCGTATCATTTATCTGTAATAAGGATTCAGCCAAGCAGTAAATGTGACATCTTATAGGACAAAAATGTAGAGTCAAAAGTCTAGATCCTATGGAGTTCTGAAGCTTTGACCACCTTCTCTCTTCTTCCCTTTCTTTCTTTGCAAGGTTTAGTGCATTCTGTGCAGTACCCTGTTTAACACTTCAGAGGCCAAGATAGGCCTGGTGCAGAGAAGCTATCACTGGGCTAGCTGTGTAACTCTAAAAAAGCTGAACGTCAATAAACATTCACATTTTGTAAGTGGAGAAGCCACTGTTGTCTCATTGAGTGCCGTGCGGGTGCTCTATTTATCCTGCTTTCAAGGTGGTACTGAGTTTATAAAACAATTAAACAAGAATACTGTTGTGCAATAGAACAAAGTAGAAATTATCTATTATGCACCATCAGTTAAGATTTCCATCAATAATATTTCTCATATTTCATCACATTTATTATATTTAATTAAACACACATTTTAACCCCTGACTGTATGTCTTGCATTTTACATATGATAAGTGTTAATAAGGCAATAGCTAATTGTGATGGACCACCTGGCACCCCTACTGGGTACCTCCGCCAATCGATGCTTCCTAGATGACGCTGAGGACCATAATCCCCACAGCAGACACCATAAGCACTGTAGATCTTACGAACCACCGCAGCTTGGTTGTGGTCTCACCATCCCTTCCCAACCTGTACCAGACTCCTGGATCTTATAAGAGCTAGTGGTATAGCTGTATAGCGGTTCCCTACAATCACGAGATGAGGCTACGTGCTGAGGGTTTAGCAGGAATGGTTTAATGGTTGCCACACTGGCCTTTTATGACAGTCCCACATGGATCTTGTTGGGGACAAGGACACAAACTTACAAAGCAACAATAACAGAGTCACAATGCATGTCACTCCCACATACAATACAATACGCCTTCCTCTTAAAGTATTTTAGCCAGGCATTTTGCAGGGGCCATAGTCACAGGGTAGGAAGCTGGCAAACAGGCTCATCCAAAAGCCAGTGGAGAGTTCACTTTTGCCACATATCTCCCCCCCCCCAAGTGAAGACTAACCAGGTACCCAACCTGCTGCCGGTCGGCACCTGAGTTAGTCTGGCAGCCCACCCACAGCCAAGTACTTGACCTGCAGATCTCTGGTGTCCAGCTTTGTCCTGTCTGCCCATAGTGGTCAAGTGGTCATCTGGTACTCCTGGAATCTCGTTTGCTCTCCGACTTGTAGTTAGTGTTACTTGATGGGCAGAGACCAGCGTTACAGCTGGGTAGTTGAGAGGGTCGTCCAGTCCTGGATTGAGGACAAGGGGAGGGCAGAGGCTAACTGCGCTCTGCCCTGGTGCCAGCACTTCTGCCGAGGTGGCCTGTGGGTATTCAGGCCCTGGAGAAAGGGAAAGGGGAGGGCAAAGGCCAACTGATCTCTGCCCAGATGCCCAGCTGGGGAGACTGGTACGTAGTCCTGCCCTGTTACAAGGGGGCAGGTAGGGCCAGTCAGCTCTTCTGCTGGAAGGGGGTCAGTGGGTATTGTAGTCCCCTCAACTAACCCTAGTCCCCGGTTGGGAAATGGCTGTGGAGAGGAGTGATCTCCTACCTCCTCCTCCTGGCATTCCTGCGGTGTTGGTTGGGGATCTGGACTGGCCGTCCAGCATTTTTGTAGGTCTGGTGCAGAGACTGCAGTATTTGCACCATTGGGGTCAGGGGTCCTGTCTCCCTGTAATTGGAAAGAGGGACCAGCTGTCTCCTCTTCCGGTATATCCGGCTGTCTCCACTCCCTGTGTTGCACACTGCCGCTGGGGAGTGAGACCGGATGTCTCCTCTCCCTGTTAGGTAAGCTGCTTCTGGGGAGTAGGACCGACTGTCCCCACTCCCGGTAACTCACTCTGCCGCTGGGGAGGAAGGAGGACACCTTCTGCTCCCTGTACTGCACACTGCTGCTGGGGAGTGAGGCCAATTTTCTCCACTCCCTGTAGAATACACTGCCACTGGGGAAAGAGACCTGTTGCCTCTTCTCCCTGCAATGTACACTGCCACTGGGGAAAGAGACATTTCCCTGAAACTCACTCTGCCACTGGGGAGGAAGGATGACACCTTCTGCTCCCTGTACTGCACACTGCTGCTGGGGAGTGAGATTGATTGTCTCCACTCCCGGTAGGATACACTGCCTCCTCTCCCTGCAATGTACACTGCTGCTGGGGAGTGAGACAGACTGTCTCCACTCCCTGTAGGATACCCTGCCGCTGGGGAGAGAGACCGGTTGCCTTCTCTCCCTTCAAGTTACACTGCCGCTGGGGAGTAGGACGACACCTTCCGCTCCCCTCGTTTTAGCCATCAGGAACTCGTGGTCTCTCCTGACTTGTCTCTCAACATTCACCTGGTCCCAGATCGCCTGGAAGGTCTCCATTGATACATTAGAGCCATACTAGGCCAGTCGCTGCCGCACCTCGAACACCAACTCTAAGCAAGAGTCAGAGTATGCCATGCTTGCCTGCTCCAAGCCTGTGGGAACCTCTGCTTCGAGGGGCGCTGCACAAATGCTAGCGTTGCCCTAAATATAATCCATGCGTTACCGGTGCCACCAATGTGATGGACCACCTGGCACCCGACTGGGTACCTCCCCCAATTGATGCTTCCTAGCTGATGCTGAGGACCATAAGCACCACACCGGACACCATAAGCACCGTAGACCCCACAAACCGCCGCAGGTTGGTTTGGGTCTCGCTGTCCTTCCCACCCTGGACCAGAGACTCGTGATACGCACACATGGACCTTGTTGGGGACAGGGACACAAACTTACAAACCAACAATAACAGAGTCACAATGCATGTCACTCCCACATACAATACAATAAGCCTTCCCCTTTACTTAGGAGATAATTGAGTCAAGCACTATACTAAACTCAATTATCTACAAACACAAAAAACACACATTTTTACAAAACCCCAAAAATCCCTCAAAACACATAAAATCCCCATAAAAGATAGCCCTGATCTGGGTGACCAACATATCCAAAAATCACCCAGATAAGTTCAGGGGTTCAGAAATTTTGTGGAAGTCATGTATTTTACTGACCACAGGCATGGTCCCATGCCCAAAACAGTTCCAGAGAATCAGGGCTTGCGGTCGGTCTAGTTTGGTAGTTTGAAAATAAACAAACTACCGAACAGAATCAATAGGCTTACCTTGGAGATTGTTCCCTTCATCCAGACGAATGATCTCACCAAACATTGCCTTTCTAAGTTGAGTAAAATTGAACGCAGGCGATGATGGAAATCCAGCCGTGGTCGGGAGCTTCTGTATCCGATTTCAGTTCCATGAGATTCATGCCCAAACACAGCTGCCTGCGTTCATGCAAACAAGATGGCCGTCACCTCATGGTTGTTCATAGGAATTTCAGCCACCCAGGCGAACAATTAGAGAACACTGCGGTGAGAAACGTTCCAAGGTGTTAATAGGTGTTAACAAGCTCCAGGGTGGCCTCTGTTCGTGCCTGTTTGAAGTATTTTAGCCAGGTCTGTTGCAGGGGCCATAGTTACAGGGTAGGAGGCTGGCAGACAGGCTCCTCCAAAAGCCAGTGGCGATGTCACTTTTGCCACACTAATATTCTCAATTTTTGAGATTGTCTTGTGGCTCAATAGAGTATCCATAGACTTTCATAGAAGGCTGTAGATGTTTATTTTTTGAGGCTTCAGAAATGGTTAATGGTGGGCCAGAAGTGCTGCAGATTTCCTCCTACTTCCTCCTCCTTCTCCTCTTGAAAAATATTTTTTCTTTTTTAAATGACTTTTATTGATGTCCTCAGAGGCTGAATCGGAAGTGTGAACACCTGAGTATTATGGAAAATATTAGTCTTAATGATCGTGTATCAAACTTGGAAATTGCACAAAAGAAAATATTTTTAAAAAAAAGAATTAGCAGCTGCAAATAGTCTCACAAAAAGAAATATACATTCTCAGATATCAGATAAACATTTGTAGTTAAACAAAAACAAACTATGAAAACTGAATTTTCTGCTTTGTGATTTTGTTTTGGTTTTGAGGCATGCAATATTGTGAAAATGTCTGAATGAAAACAAGTACATTGAAAGAAATTCCATAAAAGCATAAAAATTACAACAGTGATATCTGGAATATTGGTTAACCCTTTAAGACCGCAGCCAAAACAAAACCTGGCATTTGCGGTGTCTGTCCAACCGTAATTCACCTCTTTCATATTAAATGCACCCACACTTAATATATATCATTTTATTCAGGGGAAACAGGGCTTTCATTTAACATCAAATATTTAGGTATTGAACATAATTTATTATGAATAAAATATAAAAAAATAGGAGGAAATAAGATTTTTTTAAATTTTCTTAGTTCTACGTGACATTTTAACTGTGAATGTCAAAATACTGTCTGCTTTTACTGCAACAAAATACACATTTGTATTCAGCAATGTCTCATGTGTAAAACAGTGCCCCCCTATGTATAGGTTTTTTTGTGTTTTGGGTAGTTAAAGGGTCAAATATAGCGTGTTACATTTTTCAGTTTTTTCACATTGAAATTCGCCAGATTGGTTACATTAAGAGAGAAGACAAGTAAAAAAAGGCGCTCAATACACGTCTAAAATAATAACAACCATAAAACCTATAAAGCAGCTCCCTTATAAAGTGCAATAGCCCATAAAACACTAAAAATACAATAGTACAAAAAAAGGGTGCGCTGTGTCTTTAAGACAAGAAAAGTGCAATGTTCCTTTAAAAACACTCCAGTGCTTCAAAAAAAACACACAAACTCTATTTAATAAATGTGTTGCTATTACACACTCTACAATAGTGCAAAAAGGTGCAAGTGTACAAATATCACTTTTATACCAATATATTGGTGAAAATTGGTAATTTACAAATACCACTTTTATATCAGTGTATTGGTGAAAAATTAGTAGAAAAAACGGAGCACTTACAATACCCCGCTATATGTACCTTAGGTCTGGTTACTCCAGTTTTGCATACATATGTATAAAAAATAAATAAGAGAACATAGTGTAATACAGTATTATAAATTTTGTTATTAGAACAATGAATAGTGTTAAACTCACAAGTGGAGAGCAGAGAAGTCTGCTCTAACTTTATCCGCTTCTTGTGTAAAGCCAACAGGTCATAGGACAGCAGCAAGTTGAAAGAAACACTTTTTTATTTCCAAATAAATCTTCACAATATTAAAAATAGTCCCCCAAGTGGCATCGCTTTGCTCACTCAGTCTCTCTTTGGAAGGCGTACTGCATACAGTTTCGCTGCCGGCTAGCACCGTACCGCAAACACTTCCTGGAGGCGGAGCCTAATGACGTAACCACGGGACGTACGCTTCCTCAGATCACACTTCCATTCTGCTGCTGCCTTGCTTTTAAGTCCGTTTTCACAGGTGTATGTCCACCTATTAAGTCCTCATTATTGGTTACCAGTGTAACCCCTTAATACCTTAACAGAAATCTTCATTCAATTGTTCATTCCCAGGGTCATATCTCCTAAACCAAATTTTTTCTTGCATATGAGAAAAACTAATTTATTATAAAACACATTTATTAGACACATACATAAAAAACATAAGCCTATAGATTAAAAAACTAAAAGTATCTCTTAACTATAATAATTAAAACATACTAAAAAATATATAGTAAAAAATATCAATATATATTATAAAAAATTATGTAAATCAAATTCTATATTTAAACCTCTCGGTTCCAAAGTTCCTAAACGGTGTACCCATTTCATTTCTTCTTTACCTATTGCATTTATATGATCTCCTCCTCTCCAAGATTTATTAACTATTTGAATTCCTAAAAAAATTAACCCATTTGGATCCCTTTTATGGTATTTATTAAAATGGGCTGACACACTGTGTTGCTCAAAGCCACGTTTTATATTATATACATGCTCATAAATACGTTTGTGAAGGGGACGTATTGTTCGACCCACGTATTGTAACCCACATGGGCAAATCAGCAAATAGACAACATTTTTACTGCAGCAAGTAATAAAATCTTTTATAACTAATTCCTCTTCTTTTTCTCTTGCTTTAAATTTGCTTATTCCTTTTAAAGTTCTATTTTTACTGCATTTACAGCCCATACACTTTCCACATGAATAAAAACCGCTTTTATTATTTAAAAACGTTGTTCTAACTTCTTTTCTAGGATGATTAAAGGTAAGGAGTCTTTTAAAATTTGGGGCACCTCTAAAAGTGATAA